ACTAAAAGCGACTGAAGCGGCCCATGGTTATTGCTGAGCTTGAATGTTGGGTCAGTAGAGCTAACATGCCTTCCCATCATTTTTGTGGTAAATAAACAACATACGTTGATCAATTTCTTTTAGTTTTAATGTGTGGCCTTGTATCAGGACTGAGTGGTAAAGCGCAAATAAGGACACTCGGAGAAGGCATACCAGCTTAGTAAATATTCAGCATCCGTGGCGGTTTTTGAGACCATAGTCTGGCAAAACAGAACGAAATGATACGAAGGAGAGTATGAAAGCAAATGCAATGAGATATCGTTTAATCAGACTGAACCGCTGGGTAAAACCGTCTTCAAAGCCTGCCACATGAATGTTCAAACTGGAGCATACATTTTCCCGATCGACTGGCTTCCCGTATCTGTCCTGACTGAAACAGCCGTGACTTAAATGCCTGCTACAAGTATTGAAAGTGTGACTCTTTGACAGCATCTTGGTTATTCCCGAATTCCTGGAGGAACTGACAGGAGAATAGCCTCTTGGGGTGCATCGACACATCTCGTAAATCAACCGAGTTTCGCGGTATTGTTCGCCCAATTGCGATATTAGGCCTGTACTTGTGTTCCTCACGGGGGCATCACCTACAACGCAGAGCAGCCCCCATCTCTCCAAAGACCAAAGGCGGATTCTGCCTTTTCATGCCCATCACATATGGATGACCAGGCGCCCCAAGTCCCGGTTATACGACACTCAGCATTTGAAGTATCGTGGCCAATGGTGGATCTGGAGTTTAGCCGACAAAGTGAGGATGGAAATTTATTGACTGACACCAACACGTTTCCTGCGACACAAAACTGCAACCACGAATCCTACGATGATATCCCAGTATCCTGGAAATTTTTCTCAAGACATGAAGATACGGGGTCAGCCACTATGCAACTCCTACGGGACAGCTGGAAAATATTCAAAAATATGAGTCTCCAGGATTGGGCTGATGACGCGTTGGATATGCCATCGACCAGGGTCAGGGTTTTCAGGCTATATTACAGCAGACTAGCATTTTCACTGTTTTCTTTCCTCCGCCAAGTTCCTAAGGAGATCGCCAAGTACGATTCTATGGCATCGGTACGGACTCTCTCTCTGTCTCCGGCCCATCCAGACTAAATACAATAGGCTGTTCGAACCCACGACCGTTTCCTTTACGCTACTCTCCGGCATAGTCTCACCTACGCTAAGTGTGGCAACCCGTACCGGGCCTTGACACTTGATACATCGCCTATCACGACACCAGTTAAGGATTTACTGTCAAACCCCGCGAAGGATATCATCTGTCAGTTCGCAGTACTCGAAACTCGCTACAAGCGTTATTGCCGAGGCTCTGACCTTGCGGATGGGCGCTATTTCCAAATTGCCACCCCGCTACTGACTCTTGTCACCGATCAGTGTCCAGTCAATGGCTCGAGAATAATCACTCGCGAAATACTACAATCCTTTCGCCAAATCAGTCTTGAAGGCGTCTGGAATGATGACTGTCATCTGAAAGCCATCGCACGTCGATGGAGCTGTCTCTGTCACGAGGCAGAGGAGATTGCATCTTCAGGACGCCTGAATACCAAACTACTGGAGCTCGCCCAGGTAGGTTACAGCATCATACAGGACCAGCCAATAACTCACACCACCTCCGAGACTTTTTCTCGCTTACGGCAATTTTGAATGGGCTGTCAAACGGAGGCATCAAGCTTGAACCAGTGTTGGCTGGATTCCTTGATGAAAGTCGGAATTATCGACAATATCGCCTTAAGCTACATAAGGAACCCTGTCTTCCATTCATTTATCCATTTATCAGAGACCTGAAAAGGGGAAGTCGTGAGGCTGTTCGGGGCATTTTTAGCTTCCTTTCCTACGATCGAATCTTCATATAATCCAAGTGATCACGTGCTGACATCTACTGTCTGTGACTTTTTATTGTTATCCTTGGCCTGGTTTAGTTCGGTGGTACAGTAAATCAGGAAAGGGAACCGGAGTTTCACGAGTCGTCAACATTCTTTAATTCTGCTATAGGGAAGGTTCTAGAAACTGTTGCAGAAAAGGACAAAAAAAAGTTGTACATTGACTGTTTCGGGTTCTGCTTGCCATCCAACTAATTCAAGCTTTCCCAAGAGCACCAGAGGACTAGATACTCAGTCCTTAACTGGCCATTTCGCATAATTTCCCTTTTTGCTATCGCTTTGATGGGTTTCTTCTCGAGGCTCTGTATCTGGATAACATGGTGAGAAGGACCAGACCCTTACACACTTGCTCTGATCATACCTGTCAATCCCCACGGCTCGAGTAGTCGTGTATAATGATCATTACAGCATCCTCCATATTGGAACTGTTATCTGAGACGTAAGAGAGCTCTTCTGCATCGGAAGCTAGGAATGCTCGATCTTCGCTCATTTCCGAAGGGACATAATCAGAGTCAAGTTCTGAGTCTGAGACATCCTGGGGCTCTGAATCCTGAGAGCCCAGCGTGGCTCCGCTACAAGACGTGTCATCATAGGAACTGGGCGGCGTCATAGGTGCACTTCGAAAGATTCAGTTGTCGCTATAATTATGAACTTTGACCAACGCATGATACTGATTAGAGACCAGCTTTTATAGACAATAGATGGGTCACAGTCGGAACCTGACCGGAGAACGCTTTTCTATGGGTTCAATTAACCGGCCCTCGAGAATGACGTGTAGTTTCCCTATGTCTAATCCAAGGATTGAGCGTTTGGTTTCAATGGGACGAGAAGACATTAACACGCAACCACGCTCTGCATAATCATAAACGGCTTACGATTGAAAGCCAGAGTGCCCGTATTGGAGTCACTCCTTTTTTTGCGAGCAGATAGTTGTACCTAACGATAGAACCTGGATTGCGAGATTACAAGACACTGGAATCCCTGTCATTCGAGGCTCTCCTAGGCAGACGGCTGGGCTTATAAAGAATCTATGTCGGCTACGGTTCTACTAGATACAGGGCCTATCAACATTCTCACTAATACTGTGTTTAAGCAGTATTGCAAATGAATTGTCTGACAATATGGTACTCCGCGTGCTCCCTTGGTTAACTACCGTGTTATTTTCGACCCCAGTAAGTTCCGTTCCAGTTCGTACAGGTCACAGGATGCTCAACTCGATCAGGTCGCTAGTCTGGTCATTGGCCCAGAGTATTGGTCACAAAATGAGAAGGTACGTAACCCGACCTAGAAATTGTGCCGGATAATGCTGAAGACTCTCCAGTCACCGGATCCTTGCAGTTATTGCAACGTTCAGGACAACCTGTTCCATGATACTTCCAAATTGGGAATGTGGAATATGCCCGATCGAGTAGGTTTTGAGACTGAAAAGGGTGCAGAGTTTCATACAGTCCACTTGCATAGAGGGAATTCCCATTCGATACGGCATCATATACGGCAAATTCCGCAAGACCACCATTTGCCCTGATCTCCCGTGCGCATATTTGCCCTCGGTGAGTTTAGAAAGGTCCTGCCACGCTTTTCGTCCCTGAATTATGAATTACAATCTAGAGTCTGGAGCCCCTGCAAAGCTCCAGAGAGAAACATATTACTCTGATACTTGGCCAGATGAATTGAATATCTGACTGAATTAGATTCACCGTGTACCAGGATCTGTCATCGGCGTTTAAAATTTAGGATGCGTCAGCCAAAGATTTAGAACGCGGAGGTTGTGTATCTTCACTTTTCGCCGGGTATAAATCGATACTCGGCCATTCAGCTATGCTGTTTCTTCGGATCGGAAAGGATCATGTGCTGGAAGTCACGCAGTTCCGCCAACAATGGAGCCGGACTGACTCCGATGAGTTAGATAGGCTCTGGTAAAATTAGTCTAATTCGGTAGAATAAAGATGATTCAGCTCGCAGGGAAACATATGGCCAGTGAATTATAGTCTGGCGATGATGAATTGAAAGGCCAACCTCTCAAGTGGGGGGATAGGTGTAAACCTAGCTGAATCCAATTACACAAAAGGGAAGGCAAGTCTTTGAAATGATTAGCTGATGTGGACAGAATTCGGAATGATTATTTCAAATAGACATTAGCACGTTCCGTCAATTTCAACAGTCACCTTTGATGAATGCGGTCCTTAAATGAAGCTAATACCTGTTATTAGCCTACGTGATTAATCTGGAAAAGAATGCATCTGAACTGTTTATGATGGACCGTCTTGACTACCCACGCAAACTGTTCCCTTTGAATTGGGCATGGTCAGTCACCGCAATGGCTTTGGATTGAACGAATTTACCCAGTTAGCCACGAAAGCACTGCGCCGCTTTAATTGGTTAGCGAGCGAACGGTCGGTGAACCTCGTTCCAGCTCGTCATTTAGGGCACCGTTTGGGATGTCTAATAGAGCAAACTTGATAGACTGACATTGTCCTATGTTCAAGTGCCAAGCACACCTCGGCTCTCGATCGCACTCAATACCTCCCTAGGTTCTCTTAAACACTACCCAGCGGTGTTGTCTGCCCTCCGTGGACTCCTCTATTCTAAGGAGAGGACTGGTGGCTTTTTCCCAGCGAATATTTACACTCAGAGCGCAAAGGAACCCCAGCTTTGTGCCAAAAAACGCCCCGGTCGATCAAACACACTTTCTATGTTTAAAACGAGCCAGCCATACACATGACCCGACGAGCTCAAGCAATGAACGGATTGTATTTACTGTGTCGGACTTGATTCTGAATCAACACTCCCACTGATTTATGCGTGGTAGATTGTGTGTGGTCTTCTTATCATTAAGTGTTTCGTGTGATGTGTCCGTTAAATGTGTTTTGATGCATTTTGTTTTCGTCTTGTGAAGAAAAAATTGACCTCCAAGAGGGGAGTGCCTGCTACACAGTTCTCACAAACATCTTAATTTTTCGACTTGGATAATTGGCTTACAGTATGCGTGTACTCCACTGGATCACCTGGATCATCGCCGTTGGCAGTCCTGGAATTTGTTTTCAGGCCTATGATCGACTCCACAATACCGCTATGTCGCGAGTAACTCCAGATAAGGTTCTCGTGGGCTCTAGGGAACAGTATTCGATTCTCGGATTTGGTGCGACCATAAAATCCAGCGGCAGTGGTGTGCAATACTCGGGCAACGTCGGCAGTCCATATGGGAGCAATGTTATTGAAGTCCCAGCTACACAGGCTCACCGATATAAATATGTTGTTCGTTTTGAGCGTCTGGGTAAAGGCGACAACTAGACCGTCGTGATCTGGAACAAAATTGCGCCCGATGGTACAATAGGAGGATGGTATGGAAAGGCCTGCAAAAAGTTTGCCTTAGCAGCGGGCCAAATCCGTTACATCGCGTTCAACGAAGATTCCCAAGGTGGATGGGCTGCAGCGCCCGGTTCTCTCGTTCCAGTTGATGGCAATGGCGGCTACGCTTCGACCTGGGGTGAATTCGACTTCGGTTCCACGGTCAATCTGGGCTGGTCGGGGTTTGATGTTTCTGCCATAGCTGCACAAAACGCTGGCCTTGAGGTTCAGGGTATGAAGATCTGCGAGGTTCTCACCCGTATTTGCTCTTATATTGGTCCAGCAGCCGCCTTTGTCCACAACGCCTACACAAGTGCTGTTGCTGACATCGGTGGTATTGGCGGCAAGCTTGCCCCTGGTCCAGTAAGACTCGCAGTCACTATTGGTTACAATATCACACACGCATAATAATCTAGACGCTCACCCGAATAATCTCTGTTTCAATAATGCTCCTATGCCCAATTTACCATACAAAGCTGTCTCAGGGAGGACGGAGAGCAATAGAAGATCTCAGTCACATGATGTCCATCAAGGAAGCCTCAGCGGTATTAAAGACTAATGAAACTCAACACAGTTATTGAAATCAGCAGCGTGCCGTTTTGTGAATCTGTTCTCATATATATTTACTTGGACATCACTCATGGTGAGCACTAGCGGGGAAGGATCAGGCCACCGTATTTGCTCTTTCCCCTATTGCTGTATTCTGTGCTTCTAGATAGAGGTTCTGCGGACCAGGTTCCCGGAAGGGGCAAGGCCCAAGGGGGGAGAAGGGGAGCTCGCTGCTTTAAGCCTTTATAGTCACACTAGCCCTCCTCGTGGTCGGGGCAGGGACGCCTGCTGGCAGCGCCGGAAGTGACAACCCGGGTCACTCGACCTACTCTAGTGTTGTGTTTAATATGTTTACATTCCCATGGAATGGCACTTTTCACATACAGTAACGTAAATTACGGTACTGTAATTACTGTATTTTATAGAAACTTGAGACGCATGCAGCCTCCATGTCACCCCAATTCCACGCTATAGACATTCCTTCACGCACCAGCTGCAGTGTTGACTAAGGTGGCCTACGCAATATAGCACCCAGAATTTCCTTTTCAAAGCTACACTTTATTCGTGATATAATACAGAACCAGTCGCTCCCCACATCTTAAATGGCTAATGAAGCTGAATGCGGCGAGCGTACGATCAAATATATTCACAGGAACTTACGGCAATTTAGACACGTCCACGCTACTCCAAATCGAATCGGCCGGAGACGTACTATAAAACCATTGATGCTAGAAGCACTAAAAAAGCCCACCCTGTACCTAGATAAGATAGCAGTATTTCTCTGGGATGAATTCCAGACGCTAGTAACAATATCTAGCATCCGGAAGGCCCCCATCTCGAACGGATAGTCGAAAGATGTAGCTTGACAGAAAGCCAGAGAGCAAAAGTCTCATTCACGCGAACATTATTTGCACAAATTATCGGATTTCCAGCCTAACGTGAACGGAAACGGGATACCGTTTAAATGTATTCGAAAGATGCTTTCATCATTCCACACATTGTCTAGAGAAATTTTGTTGTATTCTGTCAACATTATGTATGTTGTAGACTCCTAGTTCTTTCTCCAATCGTTGTTCTAGTACTACCATTAGATCTGAGCGAAGATGACAATTTTCAAGCTCTCAAGGGCCCATTTGTATCGCCACAGAACAAGAATCTACCTACTGAAGCTGAGTTCTCTTTTGTGTCTAGTCATTGGGCTTTTGATCTTAACCGACCTACTCAAGCGAGATGGTATGTTCGTTTTCTGACGCCTGCGAGCAAGATCCTCTCATGTGCTTTCTATGAAACTAACTTAAACAGCATTCGCATATCTCCTACCGCGAATTACACCGCAAAACAGCACCTCAGTCTTAAAAGGTCAAATGGCTGCTCCAAAACCGTCCATCGCCAAGGTGACGATTATATTTGGAGACAATTCTGTCTACCACAGAGCTTTAAAAACACATGAAGAGCACAGTCGCAAGTTTGGATATCCCATGCATGTCTTACAAAGCGGAATTCTGGATGATGTGTGGACAAAACCTGCGTTCCTATTGTCTCTCATACTGGAGGAACTTGTTAAACCGAAAACAGAACGACTAGAATGGATCTTGTGAGTCAATATTTTCTGGTTAGGAATCCAGCGTGACTGACCAGAAATTACAAAGTTGGTTCGATGCTGACACGGTGGTCATGAATCCAAACATTCCGATTGAGCTGTTTCTCCCACCGGCAGATTTTCCTGATATCCACGTTATATTCAGCAAAGACTGGAATGGGCTCAACAATGGCGTCTTTCCCATCAGGGTTCATCCATGGTCCGTCGAGTTGCTAAGTGCAGTTATCGCCTACCCACACTATTTCCCCAACACGCAACTCGTCTTCCGTGACCAGTCCGCATTGGGGAAGCTTCTTGAGAACGACGACTATTTTAGAAACTCCACCATATACGCTCCGCTTCGGTGGTTCAATGCCTATCGAGGGGCTCCTGACGGAAGTCTAAATGACTATATCCCGCCGGAATTTCAACTGCGCAAAGGTGATTTCCTTGTTCACTTCGCGGGAACGTCAGCATCAGACCGAAACAATAGTATGAGCACGTTCCTCGAAGTGGCTGAACTGCACTCCCCCGATTGGCAATTACCGCCGGACGCAACAAGCTATCTAGGTGAGATCGAGGCATTCTGGGCGCAACAACGTATCGAAAGATCAATGTCATACTCGGGCCCTTCCAATGCTTAGCTAAGCTAGTCGCCCCAGACACCTTCGGTGTTGGGGCTCCGGTTTTAGACCATACTTTCGGGCCCGATTTTGGTGCCTAACCATACTTTTCACCCACCTCGTAAAACGTCAATTTTCGTAGCATTTTTGTACAGCAAATTGCTGCCATAAATATTGCATTCAAAAGAGCATTGCGTAAGCTATTTAATGTAAGCAAATCAGAATGCAATACATTATATATTGGTAGGATCTTCGCAGTATTCCTCATGCTCTTGGGTACATGCATTTCTCAGCCTTTTCTCTCTCATTTTTCTCCAGTTTTAGCTCCAATTTTATCTCCACATTCCTCGCTTTCTTGATGGACTCGATTCAGGCATTGGCAGCGGTGGCATCGGTGGCGGCGGCGCCGGCGTATTTAGGCTGGCATTCACCCTCGCAAGAAGCTCTGCTGGCATAGGGTTCTTAGCCGCTTTCCTACCTAGCGATATCGCCTTCTTCTCAGCCTGATCTCTCTCTCTTTGCTCTCGCTTGCGTGTATCCTTATTTGCATCGCCTTTTGTGAGTGGTCCAACTATCCTGATCTGCCAGCCAGAGGGCCTCGTCGTCCGATTGTGGGTATGGGTAAGAAGAAGCTGATTGTCGGCACGGAACTGGGCAAGGCCCTCGGTCGAATTTCCTACACTAAAGGTTAGATACACGTAAAATAACGGGGAGGAAGCGAGAAACCTACCTGCAGTGCTACAAATAAGCGTAGACCGGTGTAAAACTCTCTCCACGATAGATAGGAAGCTCTTTAGACGACGTCTCTCTCCGTCCTCGCGATGATTTCTCTCCTTAGTACTCTCATTATTCCTCTTCCTTATTGACGTGGCCGTCCGCTTAAGGGTAGCTAGACGGCGTCGAGCAGCGGCGATATCTTTGAGAAGCTTCTGAGACGTCGATTTCGTGTCTAGAACGTCTCGCGGCGGTGACATAGTGATAGAGCTAGCGAGCTCGCGGTCTTGAGCTTCATCTCTGTCTCCATCTCTATCAGGAAAGCCGTCTACCCATATATCATTAGTCTCATCATTAGCATCTCTGACCTCTTGCTCCATGGCTAATTGCGCATCAATAGGGACGATTCCAGTAAGGCGAAAACCTTCCTTAATGACGTGCTCCGAGAGAGCATCCATCACCTCTCGAACCTTAACGATTTCGCGAAAAAAGTCGACTTTCCGGGATACTGAGCCACCTCATTGGACAACCTCGACATTATTTCTCCGATACAGCGCTTTATACCGTTGAAATGGAACCGAATCGAGGGGCTGGCATATATGAGAGACATGCGGCCGGAAGGCGTACGGAACAATGCGATTTTCCCAGCATTTCAGGATGAATTCAGGCGTACAGTGAGACTTATGACCGTCGAAAAGAAGAAGGCGATAACCTCGGCAGTGTACCCGGTCTTCTTCTTCGCGTATCGCTTTTATCTCTCGTCGAATCGCTGCATCTTGGTCGTGTCGACGGCGACCGCCATGGCCACGAGCTTCCGCTATTTCATCGTCGCTTTCGGCGTATTTATGGCGATAGACTCGGTGGTTTGTGGCCTCGATAAATGAGTCTAGCCATTCTAATGCTGTGGTATAAGACGAATAGCCCTTCGGTGTCGGTTTTATCGTCCAATATCAGGCATTTCGTCAATATACCAGCATTCCTGATGATACTGAGCTTTCACTAGAAACCACGGCGGCGTCTTCCAACCATCAGCAGCAATACATTCAATAGCGGTAATACTCTCGCTATGGCCCCCGGTTGCAGTGAAGCTAATAGGTAAAGCAGATACCACTTTTTGCGCCTTTCCTTCGCCGATTCGGAAGCCGGTTTCATCCATATATAGATGTCTTTCGGTCGAAACCCGTATTGCTTAATACGCTGCTCTAAGCGGTCGTACCACATCTCCGTGAGACCCACGTCCTCGGCGCCCATTCGTTTTGGGTCCTTTGGCTTCTGCTTAATAAATCGGAGGTGGAGAGCGAGCTTCGGCAGGCGCTTAGTGAATGCGAGGCCCCAGCCATGCCAAAGAGGCTTACGGTCTGGGTCTGATCGATGTATAATGTCATCAGCGCGCTGCTGTATCGACGCTGCCGTCGGCGGGGCGCCACAGCTATCCATGAAGGTAATCCAGTCAAGCAATGCTTCTTCTTGGACGGAGTCCAATGCCTTATTGGGGGCAGGTCGGCCAACTGCTGACCGGGCACCATGGATAGTGCCTAGCAGGGTCTGGTAACTGACGTCGAATTCCCTTGCCAATGGCTTGATCTTCGGCTCATAAACGGTCGTGGTAAGCAGCCAATGCATTGGCGATCTTGAGCTCATTTTCATCAGACATAGTAGCAAAAAAGTGTCGACAAATGAGCTATTTCATGAAGATATTAACGGGAAAACGTCATGCTAAGGCCAATTTTGATGCATTGCATTCTGATTTGCTTACATTGAATACCTCAGGCAATGCTCTTGCGAATGCAGTATTTATGGCAGTAATTTTGCTATACAAAAATGCTACGAAAATTGACGTTTTACTAGGCGGGTGAAAAGTATGGTTAGGCACCAAAATCGGGCCCGAAAGTATGGTCTAAAACCGGAGCCCCAACACCAGAGGTGTTTGGGGCGACTAGCTTAGCTAAGCATTGAAGGGCCCGAGTAAGTTAATACTAGGAATCGAAATAACTCTAGAATGATTCAGTTGCAAGTTTTACCACAATAGTCTAAATAATGCTTTAATCCGAGATCCGGAAAGAAAGGACAGGCTCAGAAGACCCTAAGGTCCTCTCCCTGCTCTGATTCACGCCCACCCAAAAGCCCTCCATCTCCCACCTCCATCTCAAAGCGTAGTTAATTACATCTTGCTGAAGAGTCTCATCCCAATACTTCACATGCAACGAAGCTATAGTCTCCTTCAGATCCTCGGGCGTCACGAAATTCTGGTTCCAGCTATAGTGCAGCTTCTGCCACGGCATATTCCCTTCCACGCGATGAGCATAGTTGAGCAAGTTCTGCTCTGGCATGCCCGGTGAAAATCGACCTTCCAATTCCAGAACGGACATGTAGTATTGCATGATCTCCTCAGAGGGCGAATACACAAAAAACCCTGCGTTGAGATAATTGCTAGACATATCCGGGGGATAAGAATGACTGTAGGTCGTGGCGTCCGGCTTCCCGGCAAACAGATACCTTGTCGGCAGAGGTGCTTCATCCAACCTGCGCTGGTGGGCTACATTCTGTGTGTCTCTGACCTGAGCTGCCGGATCGTCAAATACCCCGGCGATGGGCCGGGTCAGAACAGTGTCCCCGTCCATGAAAAGGACTCTTTCAAACGGGAGGACGTGCGGGTCGAAGAGACGGAGTTTCGTCCAGCAGTTGCGCCAGCGGGGTACGTACACGGTGAGATTGGTCTTGACGTTATCGACTTCAATCACTATCGCGCCGTCGTCGGTGAGTTGCTTGCGTTTCTCATGCCTTACTTCGGGGGTCACCAGGATTATAAAGGGGATGGTTGGGTCAAGACGGGTTCGCGGTGAATGCCGCAGTTGATATGTTAACGTCCGAATGGCGATAAAATAGTTGTCTTCTTGTTCATAATCGTCGGGGGTTGTTTCGCCCGAAAAAAATGTAGCCACGGCAATGTCTTGTCTGTACTTTGTCTTGGTGCGCCATGGTTGATGTAGATGGTGGGTCGCTGAGACTATGATTGAGGCGCTCGATTGCATAACATGTTGCCCTGAGGGCAATAGGGCAATGAGTCCAGTAAGGATAACAATTGCTGTGAGTACTTGAAATCTTCGTCGTTTTGGAGAGGGCATCGTGTTGGTATGAGAGGATGGTACTATTTTGAGGTCGACTGATGGAAGGAGGGAATTCACAGACAGGATATGACCAGCAATCTGTCATGGTCTGCAATTTTCTATTACCCCTAAAGCAGAATTACTGTCCTGTCTACTGTGGCGTAAAGCAGGCTGCACGCGGTATCACTAATCTGGAGAACAGAGCGTTAGCATAATCATAAGCGTTGCTCTTCTAAATCCTAAGTGCATCCTGAATTCGGAAGGTAATGCAGGTTTTCGAGTTTCCCTGCAGCACGATTGTCGAGGTCAAAAGATGGTAAAGGCTTCCGTTTGCATGTTGCCGTATCCACCCACTCACATTCCTCTCAGTCAGCCACCACAGGTTCCTCGCTTTTCTTTCGCATTGGAATCCAACCAATGATAGGAATGTCTCAATCTCCGACCTATTTGTCGGATGCAAGCGGCCACAAGTCCGAGTTCGCCTGCGCCCGTAGGCGCTTAGGTCTTCCGTGTCCTTCACCACGGCCTTCTTGTTGACGGTGACCCGCCATTCTATGAAGTAGTGGATACAACTAGGTGGATCCTCGTCGTAGATCTTGTCCTCCTAGGGCTCCGAAAGGAATAAATGAATGCGAATATAGGGCATATTCATATTCGCACCCCGCGAATATGAATAAATGAATATCGTATTCGCGCGAATAAGCGCATTATTCATATTCGCATTCATATTATTCATATCATGCATTTCGCGCGCATTAATGGATCTTCCGTTTCCCCGGTTTTTGTATTACAGAAAAACACGTTTCCACTAGCCAACTTGTATTTCAAGTGCGATCACGGCCTCGGTCAAGCATAGTAGAAAATATTTCCCATGCAATCCATGTTCTGAAGTATATACCCTATATTGTAGGGCTCGGTAAGCTCTATATATTCTGCGTCATTATTTTTCGTGATTTTTTATAGGTAAATGTCTAGTTTTGGTGACCAACGGTTGCTACAGAAAGTCGAGCGAAATTATATATATCTACAAGTCGTCTTTCCACATCTTTGCTGCTCTAGTTAAATCGACTACCATAACTTCTCTTGTTCCCACTCGATCTACTCCAAAGTTTAGATTTATTATAACCATGACTATTGGCACGTAAAAACGCGTTTATCATGCCACCTTAACTCACTTCTCATGCAGGTTACAGATTGTTTACCATGAGAGTCGCGAGTGAGAAACCGCCGCGTGTAAAGAAAAGACCTATCAACTTTCCACTTTACTGGGATTCGCATCAGGCGAAAGCATAGCTAGTGTTTCCCCATCATTGTTTCATTCTCACCGTTCATTTCCGACCCGCCATGCTATCAAGTATTGTCGAGTGATACTAAAGGTGTGCCCCGCCTCGCTCCCAGGTACCACTTGGACTACTAACACTGAGCAAATACAGAATGGCATCCTCACCTAACCCATTTGTGCGAAAGACGCGTGGTCTTCCGCGTCGCGACTACAATGCTCTGAACAATGGCACACCCTCCCTACTCCCTGAGCCATGGGAAGGAAATATTCGTGAAATAGAGAGCCCCTGCTCACCAGCACCATCCGAGTTTGCAGAAGGCGAAGAGACGTCCCCATCCGTGCTGTCCTTACCCATTCCCAGGTCTTCGCCCGCACCGCTAGATCCCACGCTATCAGGGTTGACTAGCAGTCAGAGTAGCCCACCGACTTACAAGAGACGAAAAGCCAAGTCATATTCTAGCTGGACCCTCGAGCATTTCTGGATCACAGAGCTAGACAACACCTGGCGTCGAAAGGGTGGGCCACCAAAGAAGGATCGGCTCTTAGTCTGTAGGCAGTGCAGTTGGTCATCCAGGGATTCGGCACGCTATGGCTCCACTTCGAATTTGTTGGCCCATCTCCAGGCTAAGCACCGCATCAGTTCCGGATCAGACATCACGTCATCGTCAACTATCGGAACGACCCTGGACAGTTTTTTGACACCTGCAAAAGAAAGGGCGGGCCTTGAACAAATGCTGATACAATGGGTTGTCCAAACGAGACAGCCGTTTACGGTAGTGGAGCATCCGGCATTTAGGGCACTTTTTGAAGCGACAGGGGCTATATTACCCATCAAGACGGCCGACACTCTCTTCAACAGGATCAAGGAGGAATTTCGCAAAAACCGGACTTGCGTGAAAGAAGAATTAGCCAGTAGTAGTCGCACGCTTGCGCTGTCTCTTGATGTTTGGACATCGGAGAATCAGATAGCGATCATGGGCATCATTGGCCATTGGATCTCACCCGAGTTTGAGAAGCGGGAAGAGCTTCTGGAGTTTACTGACATATGTGGACCGCACTCTGGGGAGAACCTTGCGGAAATTGTGATTAGAATGCTCGAGGAACTAGACGTCGCGCCAAAGCTCCTCACAATTACGGGGGATAATGCTGCCAACAATGGAACTCTCTGCGACAGTCTTCACGCCGAGCTTCTCAAGAACTATGACGATAAAGACGACCAATTTCGCATCAGACCTCTTATGCGGTTTCGTGGACGGCAGAGCTTCATTCCTTGCCTTGCCCACGTCATAAATCTCATTTGCAGGGACGTACTTGCTTCCCTGAGGGCCGGCTCAGCTCGAGAGGCGAAGGTTATACTGGACGACATGGCCACACAAAGTAGCCCAACATTCACCTCTGCCCACAGCACGAAGGGAGCAATCATGAAGATCCGGCTGCTGACCCTATGGGTTGCCCGCAGTCCACAGCGCCGCCAAAATTGGAAAGATGTGTCACCAGCCAAGCAAGTGGGCTACGATGTTGACACTCGATGGAACTCAACCTATATCATGATAGCGGACGCCCTTCGGCTACAGAAGGAACTTGGACAATTTGTTCGGATGCATCCAGAAGTTCACGCCCTTCAACTAAACGAGAACGAATGGTCGATTCTTCAACAAGTAGCGAAGGTTCTTAAGCCATTCTGGGATCACACCAACTCCGTATCAAAATCTTGTCCCACGATTGTTGAGAGCTTGCCTATCTATTGGAGTCTAGACGACCTCCTTGACAAGGTTCAAAAAGCCGAAGGTGATTTTGAAGGTGTGGATACTGAGATCCGGGATGCGGTGGAAAGAGGAATCCAAAAGATGAACAAGTTTGCGAGGAAGATGGACACCAATCTTCTTTACTACGTGGCTTCCGTCCTAGACCCGCGTATTAAATCGTCTTTGATTGGATCGCAGATGAGCGAGCAAGATGCGGGACTGATCATCTCTCAAGTGCGGGAGTTCCTAAAGAGGGAGTATCCGCAGGAGTTGTCCATGTCGTGTGTAGTGGATCGCCCGCCGGGAATGTCAGAGACTATGTGGAGGACGCTGCGAAAAGTACAGCCATCACAGCGGACGCTTCTTTCAGACATTGATAGATATCTAGACGCGCCACCGGTGAGTTGGTCCCACCATATGATTGACGATGCAGACGAGGAATGGGTTCTCAAATGGTGGAAGGCAAATGTATTTAGCTTTCCACTCATGGCAAAGGCAGCCCGAGATTACCTGCCAATTCCATCAGCGGAGGTAGGGATTGAACGCGAGTTCAGCAATGCCAGGGATGTATTGGGGCTCAGGAGACACTGTCTAAATGCGGAGACTATGCGGTGGCTTATGCTACTGAAGGGACAGTATCAAAAATAGCGTTCCAAAAAAGTGATTGTGATAATATTAAGATTTATGGGAATGTAATATCTTAGAGATGGTGAACGCATTTGTTATAGAGTCTTAGGCACATGAAAATGGGTTCCTGTATTGAGACGTAACAACATGAACGGTAATGTATGCTCTCTCAGTATATGAATAAATATGATCATTCATGAATATTCATGAATAATGCAATATGAATAAGTCTCTTATTCATATTCATATTATGCAATTCATATTATTCATATTCGCAAATATTCATGAATATTCATGAATGATCATATTCCTTTCGGAGCCCTATGTCCTCCTCCCACTCAGATTCCCGGAGCAGTGGTATTTAGTAGAAGTCGACTTGCGGGATTAGGTTCATCGTCGAGTAAGGTGGATAGGGAGGGACTATAGTTGCATCGTGAGCATAAAGGGCTTCGGAAGTATCCCGGGGTTAGGGGAATATTGAGTAGGGCTGAGAGATATATTGTAGTCAACGTAATACGGACTGTCGCTCATATTTACACGCGATCGAAGTCCTTGAGATCTGCGTCAGCTAACATAGGTAGTTCCACAGGCCAGGAACGAATAGAAGCGGCAGTCCGCGGCAACAGAACCCTGCCTTGAACATTCCGTAGAGATTTACAGTATTTTACAGAGACCTAAATCCAATACATTACAAGACGCGATACAAGGGGGCTGTTCCCAGTAGGGAAGGCAAAATGTAATTTCAATATTTCCAAATTTCTGTAATTTGGCCTCTTGAAATGAAAATTGAAATGCGCCTTGAAATCTTGAAATCGAGCTATTCCGTAAACGGTAAGGTTTATTTTATTTGCTACCAATCAGAACCCTAAATGCGGAGGACGTGAAATCGACATCAGCCTTTATTTACACCCCACCGTTGAGCTGGCTGCTTGCAATGCTCTGCAACTCCTTGAGGCCATTCAGATAAACGCTTCTTCCCTTTAGTGTTGCCAACCTCAACTGTTCTATCGGTACTAGTTCTGATCGAGCTCGGGCGTATAGGATCAGCTGAATTTGGCGTAGATGTCGTTGGAGGACTCGGGAGAGGCTCCGAATTTGGCTTAAGCAAAGAGTTAAGCCTCGAATTCAACGCAGAAACCAGGCAGGATTCGCAGACCCTGAAGCTGAATTCAACGCAGAATTCAACGCAGAAACTAGCGCAGAAGTCGGTGCAGAATTCGGTGCAGAAGTTGGTTCTGGATCTTGTTCCGAATTTGATTCAGGTTCTGGCTCGGGATTCAAGTCGGGACTTATGTCTAAAGTTGACACGAGATTCGACCCTACACCAGGCGTAGGACTTGGCGTAGGACTAGATGCGGGATTCGATGAAGTATCAGAAGTCACAGAACCCTCTGATAGATGGTCCTGCACCTGCTTACGCTGCAAAACCCTCTCTATTTCGTTGTCTTCTTCCTCAAGAAGGAACTCTTGGGTGATTTTAGAAGGCTGTTCTGTCCAGAATTGTCGTTTATTGATCTGGACAAAGAGCAACTTCTCAACGCGATGAGGCTCGAGCCGATTCCGGACTTTTGTGTGCTGAAGGTTCATCTGTGAAAAGGCTCTCTCCGCTGCTGCGGAATTCGCCACAGTATTGCAAAGACGACGGGCAAAAGGAGCAAGAATAGGAGCAAAGTCCGCCTATAAATGGATCTTAATGATAAGTATTTTTTCTCTATAGTTGAAAGCTTCGACTTACGGCTTCAAGCCAAAAGAGAGATGGACAGTTAGCCTTCCAGCAAGAAGCATTATAAAATGCACCTGTCTTCTGCCGAAACGGCAGAAATTCGTGCCAAGCAGACAAGCTTTTATCTTCGTTTTGAAGACGCCGTAGAACACCTTCAATGTGATATCGAGAGCTCTCGTCAACTTTTCCAGGGACTCCAGCAGGGTCAAGATGATAAGTTACCCAGTGAATAGGCTCTAGCTGACGCGTTATACGACTTTGCCAGCCTATGTCATCTAGATATGATAAAAAGTCATCCTTGAGGGATGTTTGGGAAGCCAGCGTTCGTAGACTTTCATGGAGATATAACCACCGTTGCGTTACCTCAATGATTGACGAGTTCCGGGCTTCCGATTCCTTCTGAGCTCTATGCAGAGGCTTAAGTATCTTGACCAACTCCTTTAGTTGCCTCCAGAAAGAATGAGAGTTAGCAGTCCGAACGATCTCCCTCCCCCTTGTAGTCGAAGCAGCAGGAGTTGCGAGAGTCCACTCGCAGATAGCTTCTTGGCAGTCATGAAGTGATGACAGCATATTATATTGCGTTCCCCATCGTGTAATGACCGACGCAATAAGCGCCTTTCTATGACCCCACTTCTCAATCTGCTTTGCTTGCATCCTTGCGTACTCAAGTGGTGAGTGGTGGAAGAAGACAACAACTTCAAGGGCAGACCTAAACACCTCTTTCGCCCGTGGAACCTTTGAGGACTTAGGATCAACGATATCCTTCATAATTAGCTGTAGGCCGTGAGAGCCACAGGGAATCATAAAGTAGTGTCTGAGTTCTGGGGTTGCCTCCAGTTTCTCCCAGACTGATTTCATGACATGACATGTGTCTGTCGAAATAGAATTGATCCTCTTCCAGTCAACGACTTTGACTAGCTGTAGTAGGATGCCTTGGAGCCTGTTTAAGATCCAACTACTAATAGCAGGAGCATCAAGAGTCTTGTTTTCCATGTCATTAAGATGAATAAACCACGACTTCGTCGGCGTTGTTATAGTCATCACAATCACCCGCTGAGATCAGATGTTAGCGGTCTCATCCACCGTCACATTCAGGGACTGGGTTCTTCGCAGCTCCTTAAGCACCTCCTGCTGTAGTCCATGGTATGCTTCATCCAGCAGATCATCGGCGATTCGGTGTCGAGAAGGGAACCTTCTAGTAGTTGATTGTGTTTTCCACGTAGCGACTCGGGCCCGCGTGCAATACCAGTATCACGACAGTATTCTATCGATTTCTCCTCCCACGATAAGTGCTGGTGCTGAGATAGCCAGTCTGGAAGACTTTGCTCTTCTGATGGTGACTACGGAATGTAGCTAGCTTTGGACATGATGAGAGCGAAGAGGAGAGACGAGCAGGCTGCGATGGAAGGATGCTGGCAAATTAGTGATGGATCAACGAGATCAACAAGGAATGACAGGGATTTATGTAATTTTTGAACGGCTCGAACCCCTCCTGAGGGGACACGGGAGTTAAGACGGTTGGTCTCTGCTTGGAAAGGATGTTGTTCGTCTCCGTCAAAATTACACGATTTTGCTCGACCACTTCCATGAGGGTTGGCCATGTGACTGTGTAGTTCGAAATTAGTCTACAAGCCACCAATACTCCTACGAGTGCTATGATTGCCTGTTTAAGACTCAGTTCATGTTGGGGCAGACCGCGAGCAACCACAAGAGTGAAAGCCAGAAATTTACAGTAACTTCACCACGATCTCCCGTCGTCTAACGATATGGTAATATTTACATGGTCCTTTTCTTAGAATAGAGACGAACAGAAGGATGAGCTGAAAATGGTGCTCTATGTACTATATTTGACTCTCCCAAAATAAAGTGCCTCATTCAGCCAGCAAAACCGGCCTGGAAGACTATTGGTCCACAAGGTTCTTGGCGTGACAGTTCTCCTACTTCATGTACGTAGTTGTCATGTTATGATATGCATTACGTCATGATGATAGCATTGCTATTTGGTTGTTCGTCTCATGTGTGTTCCTTGGTTCATTTGTTTGCTTGACTTAACTGCTTTTTTGAAGGTAGCTTCGTGAGCATCGTGCTATATACACAGATAGCCCGTCAACTCACTATTTAAGCAATGGTCTAATGATTGTTGCATGGCATTTGTTAATCAACCGCTGAAGTTAAGCCGTGCAATAACTTACTTCATGTCCAACGATGAAGGCCCGTCCCAGAATTCAATTGCTGCCCAAGCCAGGCAGATAACTCTGCAGGTAGGGGAGCGTCGATTTGTCACTACTCGTGAAACACTCATATCTGAGAGCAGCTTCTTCGCCTCCCTGCTGTCCGGGCGGTGGGACAATGCACTTGCCGACGGCTCTTACTTCATTGATGCTGACCCAACTCTATTTGAACATATCCTGCGTTATCTTCGGCGTAGGGTGCTCCCGATCTTTTATGATATCGACAAAGGACACGACCACGCGTTGTATCTTGCCCTTCTTGAAGAGGCAAGGTATTTCCAAATTGTTCGGCTCCAGGAGTGGCTTGAGGAAAAACGGTATCTCTATGCGTTAACTGTGGAGTGTTCCGTTGAAGAAGTTGAAGGGACTCCGTGTCCTACAACACTGTCCACGGATACGGGAGTGGAATACTACCCTCGATGGGGAACCAAAAAGGTGTATGTGTGTCCGAGAGGAGTATATGCGCACAGGGGACAGCCCGGAGCATGCATTAAGCAATGCATGAAGGCACAAGGAGATGCGGATGCTGTTTATTACGAGGAACCAGTGCTGAGGGTGCTGGTGGTGAAAAAACGGACAGTCTTTGATATGCAAGCTTGTGTGACTGGCAGGTAAGCCCTACCCTAAGCAACATTCTGATGTTTCTTTGCCTAAGTCTGATTTCCAGGTTCGAGATGGACAACGGTATGCGATCTTGATCTGTTGCTCATAGTATACAGTCGTGTGCGTTCAGCTGAGTGGTTTCATAGAAAGTGAATCCCTTTCTGAAAACGAAACTGAAATCAAGACTGAAATCGAGACACACAAGTATCCCAAGGAAGGATCACATTGGTGCCCAGAGCTGTATGGATGGTACGACACCGATGAAGAGGTCGAACAAAATAATATCAACGACGACATAATCAGCCTCATAGAGGATAATTGTTGATGTTACTATTATTATTATTGTTTAATCCAGTTTATTGCCACGGTTCTTTGATGTTTAGCTTCCATTAATCACTTCAATGTCGCATGAGACCTTCCACGTTCATTATACTATTATTTTGTGGCCTTTGGGTAGTGGTAGTGTGCAAATGCCAGGTTTGCCCTTATTTGACGCCGTGCATTTCAATATCTAGCACAACCGCCAGTCCTTTGGCCATTTGAGGCAGAGGTCGCTTCTTTCTCTCGTTTACCTGGTAATAATGCTACTGGAGTACAGTATTAATATCTTCGATGGTGATTCTGAAGTTGGATCTGGGCATAGCCTCAGGCTAAATTTAAAAAGCAGCGCATATTTTGTATACCAGTAGTGCTCTAATTATAATCACCCTTTTCATGAAATTAAGAGCATTCGCGATTGGTCACTGCACTTGAAAATTTTAGGAGTTCTGATTCCGTCATTTATTCCATGGTTCATGCGTGTGAACAAGCCCGTGCGGTTAATCGCCAGAGCCGGATAATCCCCCGGTCCTCCTAGGTTTGACTGTGTGCTTTGTTAACCCGTACAATTTGGTCGCGAATCCTTGAGGATGAAGAAGAACTGCATACCGCAGGTTTCCGCGGAATATGAACGAAAGCTTGTCGCAATGACAGCATTCCTACATGTACCGGGCAATGTCTCTTCTTTTTCTACGCTATGACCCGGTTAGTAATTTATCGCTAGTTCAGATCCTGACCGTTGTTCTTGACCACTCCACCCGACCGCTCTGTTTAACACTTTGCTTAACCGCTCTGCTTAACCGTTCTGTTTAACCACTTAGTTGAACCACCTTGCTTAACCGCTCTGCTTGACCGCTCTGCTTAACCACTTAGTTGAACCACCTTGCTTAACCGCTCTGCTTAACCGCTGTGCTTAACCACCCTTTTGCTAGAATCAAGATCGCTATCTACCTACCAATCGTAATCAATGCGTTGAGCTGACTTGGCATACACCACATCTCGTGGGGACATATCCTTCTTAAGAGCTCTTTTCTCTATAAGTACTTCCGACATGGATCAAAATCCAGTAAAAGTGATGCAGTACACAGAAGATTCCTTTCAATGGCATATACCAGTGGGGTCTGCCTGCGTTGATCTTGCCAATTGATATCCGCTCTCTTATCGACAAGAAGTGTGCGGATAATTGTCTCGTTCTTGATCCGAATTGCATGAAAGATTGGTGTGCGATATTTACCGTCTGTAGTGTTGGCGTCCGCTCGGTAGTCGTCCAACATCATCTTTACAAATTCCGATTTGCCTCTGCGGACCCCCCAAAACAAGGCAGAGCTGCTTTGGTGTCGGACGTTGAACCTGTACAGTTAGTCGAGGAAAAGATCATTCCCTGCTTGATTAAGACAAGCCAGCGCAAGCAAATCTCTGGCTTGATCCAGGCTGTCCGCTATTAATTTTGCTAACCATGTATTCGGCTTCAAGTGATAGAGACCCGCCGTACTTAAAGTTCACCGTTCTCCTGAGAAGCTTAGAGCAATCTAACTGGCTGATATCAGGTCAATTGGTACTTGAATTTAATTTATCTAGTGGTTCAGCCCGTTTTGAATCACGCATTGTCTACTTACCACAAAGTCGAACACTCGGAGAAAACTCGGATCGAACGAGATTGAGATTCTGGTTCCGGAGTCGTCCAAGTCTCCTACAATATAGTCTAGAAATCCCAAGAACGCAATAACGAAGAACACAAGAAAAAGAAAACTATTGCCCCATTGAAAGAACCCACTGCAGGATGCCATTCCATGTTGGACTTTGGAGAATAGCAAAGCCCTCATAACGAGGATATCCCATAAAAGCACAAAATAGAGGCGTTCACCGCCAGATCACACGTCGATGGAAAGACATAACAGCGAAAGGAAAACCAAGGAAAAAAAGCTAACAATGCCTCTCCCGGAATAGTGTACACAAAATGGGAGAGCGTCATGGAGTAAAGAGAACTCATAGCCTCTATTTCTTGGTGGCACGCTTCTTGGTCGCGGCCTTGTGTGTCGGGGGAGCAGTAGTCTTGGTGACGCGGCCGGACTTGGTCTTGCTGACGACCTTGGGCTTCTCTACGATGGCGGGGGCCTGAATTTTGGTAAGTCTCGGTCTGATGGGAGTGTTGGACTGAAACATACCATGGTTGAGGTCTTGCGGGCCTTGCCAGAGGTACCCTTGGGTTTCGCAGCAGCCTTCTTGGCAGCCATCTTTGGCGCGGCCTTGGTCGCGGTCTTTTTAGGAGCAGCTTTAGTGGTAGTTTTCTTGTGGGCATCCCTCTATGAGTATTGTAAGCAACGAGCAGCGAACCCAAGTCGCGACGGTGACGTACTTTGGTAGCAGTTCTCTTGGTGGTAGCCTTTGCCAGATGCTTAGCAGCGGGCTCTGCAACAGGCTTGACAACCGCGTCCTTCTTAGCTAGCTTCACCGGGCCAGAGGGTCCTATGGCACGACGCGTCAGCGAACCATCACAAAACAGAACAGCGATAAAATATTTCTGCTCTTGAATGCCGTGGCAGTGGGAGAAAGCAGAATGGCGACAAGAAAAAGCGACGTTGCGCGCGAAAACAAGGAAACGGAAAACTTACCTTTGGGCTGGGTGAACTCGCCCTTCTCAACGCTAGTCTTTATAGCCTTGTTGAACTGGGCATCAAAAGCGCTCTGAGACGCGAAGGTGACCTTGTTGTTGGAAGTGACATACTTCTTAATGGCCTGGCGGCTGAAAAGCAAAAAGCGTTAGTGCGTGGTTGCGATCGAAAGAACACGCCAACCGTCAGGGCGCCGGCGAGGGAAAAGCACAAATACATACCTGGAACCATTGCGCTCTTTCAGCTACGGGCGAAAGAACAAGTCAGTAATGAACAAAAAAAATAAAAATAAGAACCATCCCAGTCGATTTGGTGGTCCTCCATCCTCAAGGGGCGGACGAGACACGGTCGGACGCGCGACCCGAATCAAAACAAGCCCGGCGCCGACGGTGATCTACTCACGCTGGCAATGGCGTCCTTGATCATTTCTACATGAATGGAATCAGCAGACGTTCGCGACAATGGCGATGTACATCTCATTTTACGCGATGAGATGGTGGTTCAGGATCATAGGAAACATACCGCGGTATGAAGGGTGAGCAACGGGCGCCGCCTTCTTGGACGCGTTGGTTGCTTTCTTGGGAGGCATGGTGATGGGATATGAGAGATATGGATTGAAGGATGGGACCAATAGATGAAGATCTTAGAGGACTCAAGTTGGGGAAAGTTGGAAGAACCAGCAAATGGAAGGGGTTGGGAAGGGCCTGTGGTGCATCCGTGATTTAGACGTTGCCAGTGTTGAGCAAGATCACTTCCGTGCTCTAGATATCCCCTTCTTACTTTTGGGGCTCTTTGTTTTACTAGGTTGATATGTTTTCGTTCTAATGTGTTTATATTGTCTATACCTGATTCCCACAGTCGGTTGTTGTCCCGCTCTTCTGTATAACTCGCCAGTGTCGCGTTCAAACACCTCAAGACCCGCCGAGCTGTCCCACCTTGTGGAGGCTTTACTTTACATACGTCAACTTTTGGCGAAAATTTAGAGAGGCTCAACTCCAACATGGGCATACTTTGCTGACGAGCCGGTTGTGGGATACGTGATCCAGTATCCCTCGTTTTACAGTTGAACCGCAATGATAACCGGTTCGACCGCGACTGACCGTCTCAACCTGTTCTGATGCCCCACATGAACCGTGCGCCGACATGGTTATCGGACCAGTTCTACGCTTTGAACGTTCTTATTATTTTGTACCGAACAGCGACTCCTCGGTCTATCATTTTTCATATTGTGGTTGCCAATTTCGGTTAGATACACCATGTTGTGGTCAGTTGATTGTTTGCCGTTCATATCGAACGACCATTGAGCTTGGCAATGCGCTTCACAAGACTTGGTGGCCTCCGGGTGAAGAGCGGTTACAGAAACGGCGCTGAGCCTGTTTAACATGGGCTGGCCGAACGAGCTTACCATCCAGCGCGATGATGCATGACCTACGAATATTGAACGTCCTCTGCGCAATGTCTGGGCAATTTGACTGGGTGCTCAGATAGATGCGTGCTTATAAGCCTCTTGCTGTCCGGAGCGATTAATGAAGTGAGCACAGAGTACAATGCTGGACACCTTGCCGTGTGAGATTCTGATGCTAATCGCAGATTGGGTGAGTTCCAGTGTGTTTGTTTTGGTCCAGGTACTGACCGCCTGCCAGCTATCAGCTACCACCCTACGCGTTCTCAGCCGAGCCTCGTCCAGATTGTATGCAGTTTTGGTTCCCCGGATATACCGTACCATTTCATTCTGTGCAGCAAGTGAATGGGCGCTGAATGTGTTGAATGTCGAGCCCTTCTTTCTCCGTTTCGGTCCTTCACGGGCCGCGGACTATCTCCAACACGCGCGGCACCTACATATCAAGGCTCCGTTCCACCTTGTTCGGTTTAATCGATGTGCATACTACAACATCTTTCGTGCGGCGGGGCTGCCGGAGTCCCCGGCTACACTGGGAGCCTCGGACGAGGCGACGGCACATCGGCAATTCCTGGATGACGTGAAGGATCAATTGCAGCTGATATTTACCCACCTGAAGCGGAATAGACTGAGCACGTTTGAGTTCGTATAGGCCGGTATCTATCTATCTAGACTTGTGATTGACTAGCAATAGATGGCGTCTAGGGACTTGTATTCCAGTAGGAGTTCTCGACCAAGAAGGCTATCTCACTCGGTACCAACAGCGCCTCGCTCGTCTCTCGCTCATCACTGACGGCACCTGTCCTGAAACATTGCACCGCTTGGAAGGAATGTCTAGACTATCCTGTCTGACGACGTTTGAGTGGGAAGGACTCCAGCATCCGTCCGAGGTTGATTTGTTGCGACAGTGCATCCGTCGGAACTGGAGCCGCCTGGATCAGCTGTCCATCGGCTTCGTTCCATCGGTTTTTGCCCGTGCTCTGCGCTGGGAGAGCCTTGGACTTCAGCAATCGGAGCTCGAGGTCGGAAATATAGGTACTGGCGACACAAGGAAGGGGGATACAGGTGTCGGGAATCTGACAGCTCTTCCCGTTCTGTCCAAGCTGTCACTGTCACAGGTGGCTCTGCCTCCAGATATCTCGTCAGATCACGATGCAATATTCTGTTCCCTGCGAGCGCTTACGCTGCGCGACTGCCCGAATCAGCTGCGTCTCGTGCAATTACTGTCTCGGTCACAAAAGCCGCTCCGACTGACGCATTTCGAATTTTCTTTCGATTGCCTGCTGCATGAGCCTGGCCAAGGACGTAGCCTTTCTGCTGTTGTGCGATTCTTATGTTCGTTTCGCGGGCTGCAGCATCTACATATGAGGTTGTCCAACTTCCCGGCGTCAAAATCTCACATCCAGGACGCCATCCGACACCACCAGTCCACATTGAAAAGCCTTGTCTACCATGAGCGTCAACTCGCTCCCATCGATGCTGATGGCTTATTTGAGGATGACCGGGATGTGTCACCGGCGTGGATTACAAACTTGTCTGCCATTGTAGACCTAGGCCAGGTGTCTGCTCTAGCTCTGTGTGCTAGTCCATCTGCGGCTGTAAGTTTCCCTTGGTCCAGTTGACGTGTGCATACTAATAGAAACAGCGGCGGTGTCTCCGACCTACGGCGAAGCATTCCCAGCTTCAGATCTTACATCTACGCTTCAGCGGCCTCGAGCGAATCCATCGAGACATTCCACGAGAAATCACCACCTTTCTACGTCAGACGCCTAAAAGGTATTCACGGCATCCTTGTTCGTGCTGGGGTTCCGTGAACCGGAATGCCTCCAATGACAACCACAACTACGGTTCTATTTTCGATGAGTACTTTGACAGGTCACAACTCGAGTATCTAGACCCGCAGGAGGCAGTCCTTGCGTCTTCCGCAGCGATTGCAGAGGCCGAGGAGCTCGTGTCGTTTGCTGAATGGGCATTCGGCCCGACGGACTGCCGGCTCTGCAGGTCCTCGCGTTTGGGGACTTCTCCCACGGTGATCGATATCGGAGTCAGCAGTTTCTAATGCGTCGTGTCTATCCCTCATCGGGTGGCAAGGAGCTTGCCAGCCCTGCATGCGACGATACGACTCGGCTGCCCTTTCGTTCGGCAGATATGAGTGACTCTTCGATTTGGGATGGTGCTATGGTGGACGGGGCTCGTTTTCTGTCCGCATGCCCAGGAGGCGGGCTGATGGAGTCACCATACGAGTTGTAGGTCTGCATTGTAGTTCTTCCGTATGGTTCGCGGCGGACTGCTACGCGAAGCAACGCGTCCCATGATGAAATTGGGCAGAAGAAGCAGTTGCTTATGGCCATAAGTTGCCTTACTCGTGCTGATACTTAAAAGATATATCTTTTGCTTCTCTTGATCTTAGTTTACAGTAGTTCACTGTAGGCAAATATGTATGAAGTCGTAAGACCTCTCTTGGCGGTATCCAAGCATGTTCAACAAACCGATACAGAACTCGTAATTCACCAAAGCAATCCGCAAACCGAAGCTCCTCCCACCATTTTGATTTACCACTTTTTGTGACTCTTTTTCTCCCGTGGAATTGAGCGGGTTCGGCGAAGTGCTAACCGGTTTCTGCGCGCTCCCGCGGTTTCTTGCCGGGCCCCATTTATATGGGCGTGACTGGTCATAATCGAACGACAGTACAAGACTATTCACCCCTCGCAAGACATGGTCTTATTGAGCCTGCTAGTGAATGGGGGCATTTCATTGCGGGCGTGTTTATCGTGATAGTCAGCTGTGTGGTAAAAGCCCTTTCCGTGACCATCATGGAATCTCCCTAGAAGCTAGTCTATCGTAATATGATCTTCTTAACTATCGATATAAAGATACTGTTTACCCGAGTAGGCCTTACTCTCTCTTACAGCCAGTTCTCTGCGTCTAAATAACGATCAGCTTTGGAATCCGCACGACTCAATGAACCCTCTTGCTTCTCCCTCTCAGTCAGGAAGAGTCCATAAAAGAAAGCGCGAAACTCCAGATCAGTTTGACAATTCAGTCGGTATGCTAGAGAGCTTCGAACAGATAATAAATTCTTAAAAACGAGCGTCACCGGACGAGACAAAGGTCAGATTCTACTTTGACCCAATATGGCTGGCATTTTCTAGCTAATTTCAGAAATAAATTGGATTCTCAAAGGATTGGAAAAGTGCCAGGACCATCAAACAGCAACCAGGCGCAGGAAGGCCACTCTGCCGGCGACCAACCTATATACCCTCCACTACCATCTGTTGAGTCGGATGAATCGAATAATGATGAAACGTCTTCCAGGAAAATGACACCTACAGAAAGCTCAAGATAATAGAAGCAATTCTAAGCGCACCGGACGACGCCAAAAAAATAGAGGCCATCGAGAAAGCTCTGCCCTAAGATGTGACCTTGAATTTCAGGCAAATCCAAGCAGCTGTCCACTCGGACAGGTTCCCGGACCCTGTCGAGAAAGACAAAGCCACCAAAGCATTTCAAAGTGAGTATATCATTCGCGCAAGACAGTACTGATAACTAACACCTCGGAAAGAACTTGCATTTCTCAGAGATAACGTGGGGGCAAAATCCAGCAAAGTGGACAAAAACGACGCTTTTAACTTCGGAAACAATCCAGATCGCCCACAGCCTCATGTCGAAGGGGAGGTCTCCCCGTACCATGAGGAATCTCATCATAAAGCAACTCCTCATATGCAAGTACTCCTCCAGGCTCTGGTGGACAACCCTTTGCTTCAACCTCGCCAAGCCCCAACGTCAGAGATGCCGTATCCGCGCTGGGTAAAATCAACAGCGTCCTCAGGGAAGAAAATGCAAAACACGGTCAGGATTCCGACTTGGGCATCATCCGTTATAGCGATTTGCTTGCAAAGTGGCGACAATCCTTCTGTTAGAAGATGATGATACAAAGAAAATGTTGCATGAGTCATTATTGGCGTATTGCAAGCAAATGGACTATCCTTTAACATGGGCTAATCAACCACCGTCCAGCGATCCATCCAGAGGTCAAAAAGGAAAAGTGCCAGAATCGCAAAGCACTTCAAATGATGTTGCAAATATTGCACAAGACAAGGATGCAAATTCTCAAGTGCGAAAACCACCATTGGATCCAACTTAGAGTGGTGCAAATGCCGCTGCAGCTATAGTCCCACGAGGATCAACCCCGCAACAAACATTCAATATGCAAGTATCCTCCGGGACAACGATCCCGCAAGCGGGGTCGCCGCACAATGACATAGCACTTCAAGCAGGGAGTGGCCAGAAACGGGTGGTAGCCCTCAGGCCACGTAAAGTACAAAGAGCCATACGGCCGGGCTTCACAACGTCAGGGGAGAAGATTTTGTTCATTCAACCACTCGGACTGAATGCGCGATTTGTTGTCACTGATAGCGAAGGGAAAATACGACTTGTCCCAGGCAGTCAGCCCACTATAGACCTAGCAAACAGTGCTGGAGTCCGACATACGCTTCAGGATCCAGTGGAAATGCAGAAGCTCCGTGGGAGAATACGGGTTGGAGTTTGTAGCTATTGGGGAGTGGGACATAACGAGTAATAGGCTTCTTTTTATCGTTGTTGGCTTTTACCACCAAAATGAGAGTGGGAGGTGTGAGGAAGGTATCTCTCGTTCTGCTCTTGCGAAAATATTGGGAACACGCGAAGGAGAGAAGCTGGTCGTTGAGAGCATCGTTGGCAATACCGACATGTCTTTGAAAGAAGCTCTGAAGTCTCAGATATCACCAGGGACTCAGGAGAACTCACCTAACAACGCGCCTCAGCTTCTTCCATATCGTGAGCAAACTCAGCCGTGGTGGTTCCAACCTGCCCCGCAACACTATGGGTCGAATGTCGATTTCAATGCCGATCCTACCCGGCGGCCGTACTCGAGCCACTTCCAACAAGTTGTTCCTGAGCAGTTTCAACAATTCGCTCCCAAGCAGCATTTACAACAGATTATCCCTCAGCAGCATCAACAGCCATTCCCTTACCAGTACCAAGCTGGGCCATTTGCCATGCCCTCAGCCAATTCTCGATCCCTCGATGATGAAAAACGGAAACTCCCCGGCTGCAAGTTTGATGGAGGTGGCGGAAGTTTGAGAATTAGGACTCACTGAGCGTTTGGCATCACTAAGCGTTTGGCATCACTAAGCGTTTGGCATCACTAAGCGTTTGACACTACTGATTTTCATACTAGGCTTGAATCCGGAAATGAACAATCAGTATGTAACTACAAACAGAAATTAGTCAAATAACAAATGGAATTTGCTAGCATGCTATCGAGAGAATGTTAGCGGACTGAGGCCTGAGCAGAGTATTACAAATAAGCGATGCAGTGTCCGTCATATAGGAGGAAGAATGGCTACGATCACAAAGGCTAGATAGAGCTTCTTGACAAACTAAAGGAGCCGTCAAATACCGCTATGGTCTTTTGGGATAGGCTTGTTCATCGTTCACCCAATTTCCCCTAGTATTTGTATGGTATTCGGACTAAATTCGGATACGGTGTCATAACACGCCAGAGCACGGACAGTAGGCTCCAGAGATCGCTCAACCGATCTACACACCTTCAATCAATCATCAGATTCTATTGGACATGTGCAGTACTAGCCAGTACATTAATTCCTCATCCTGTCACTTCTTTCAACAAGGGATGGAGGAAACAATCGCCGAATTACGACGTCAGCTTTGCATGTTACCAACCAATTAATAAAATTATCAGATGGTGGTCACTCGCGCTGCCAAGAGGGATGGAAGTGCACTTCCTTCTCGCCAAGGGGCCAGCTGAACGTAATATTGTCATGTTCAGGCCTCAATCGGGAAAGGCCACATCGCTTTCGCCTCCTCCGCAGATTTTTCCCCAGAAGACTTTTCGATGTACAAGGCTAGTAGCTCCTCGTTCTGCCTTCTTTTCTCATTTATATCCAACTGAGGCGCAATCCACCCTTCTGCGTCAGTATCAAGGCACTCTTCAGCAAGCGCTTGAACGTCGTGCCAGGCTCGGTATTCAGCGAACTGATATTCATGCGCATCGACTTCGTCTTGGCTAAATGAGTAAGGGCATTTATCAGAAAAGCCGAGGCTTGACCAATTCTGGAAAATCTCTATCAAGCATGCACGAAGCGGAACAATGCCCACTTCCGAGACTTCTCCGCAGCGAGTAAATAGTTCTCGAAAGACACGAGGCACATTCATGGCATTATGCGCTGCTCTGTCTTCGAGATAGGTTGAGACCTCATAAGCCTTTGCCAGTTTCACCTGAGACCATTCGCGGAAAACAGTGGCTCTGTTATCCTCATCTAATTTGTTGAAATCGGCAGGGAGTTGCGGTTGGAATATCCCCTTGACGTAATTGTGCGTTTGCGGAGGCCTGAGGAAAATCGGCCACTGGGCCTGGAGAAATGCAGGAAGTATGGAGGTTGACTGAAAATCGATGAGGGATACTATTCTTGAACACTCGTCTGGGGCGACAAAAATATTTCCCATATGAAGGTCAGTGTGCCACAGTGTAGGCTGACAAACTCCGCTCAATATTTGGTTCGAGTCTAAGAGCTTCATGAGGCTCACTGTGGCTTCTAAAAGCTGGATTTGTTGCTCAACAGTTCCTCTGTAAAAGCCCGATCGGCTTTGTTGGCCTTCCTTTGATATTCGATATAATTCTCGTCTTGCAACAGATACTCCAAAGCTTGAGATTGAATCCCCTGTGATAACGTTAGCATGTGAAATGGCAGGTTGCCCAGGTAACGCACAAGGTCCTTGGTCAATTTCTAGAGGTTTGTCAGAAATGAACGCCCGATCGCAAGAAGGTCCAATGCAAAAAGACTCGGATGGATCAATTGCACCACCAAGGGACCGGTTTGATCGGCTCATATCTTTCCGAAAGTACAACCCTCCGTAAGCTGGGAATTGAATAGACGACAGCTGAGCCTCAAGTTTCGTCAAATTCTTGATTAGCTGTAGCTTTTCGAATTCTGTCATACTGCTCCATCGTTGAAACAGAGGAACTCCGGCAGCTTTTTCCATGATTATATATTCGGCACCAACGGCACTTGAATTATCCGACGACCATGAAAGGACACGAGGGACAGGAATTCCGGTGTGCCTCCCGACTGTGTTGTATGGTGATGTTAACTTATCAAATTCATGCGCAATAATAACCAACATACCGTATTCTAAGACTCCTACTTCACCAGCTGTTGTTAATGAAGGGGGGCCAGCAATGCGGCACGGAATTTTGGCTATCACTTCCGTTCCATTTAATTTTTTCATCAAAAAAGCCTTGCTGAAACCCCCTTCCATCTTCTCGATAGCGGTGACCTGACTGGTGGTCCCACCGGTTGTGGCAACGGTATCGCAAAGCGCATCTAAATCGAACTGGACATATCGTCGACTAAATTGATGTTTCTCATCGACAAGGAAATGGCCATTGGTGTAAGCGAAAAGGTCTTCACGGACTATTGGTATGCCTTCTTGAACCATTAGCGACTGTCTTCGCAGTGGACTTCCATTCTTACCTCGACACGTCATCGACAGAGGCGCTCTTGGCCGGCCATAACACAACTTCAAAAACCTTCCGAGAATTGACAGCATTTCGTGTACCTAACTCATCATGGGTTCGAGGGAAAGGACGAAGAAAATGAAGACAAAAGACGTTAAGCTGGAATGGGCGGCAGGGCGTTCTTTTATCCCTGCCAAGTATGTTGAGCGCCCCTGTCGGACCGACATTATACCGAGAGACGCACTATCCCATAAACGGTAACATTAGTGAAATTTACAAGATACAGTAAGCAAACGTGTCTGATATGTCTTGCGTCATATTTATGAGCAAGTCTTTCCATCAGCCCAGTATATGAAACGGATACTTGAATGGCATCAATCCTTGTCTCGTTTAGGCATTATGTCAAGCAAAGAATAGCTACTATAAATACGCGAGAATACACCATCAAATTTGCCATTACCTCCGGTATTTACGCGCATAGAGAAAGCATCGAGTGTAAGGTCGTATTCCATTTCTCATTCAATCGCAAGGAGCAACAAGCAATATCACTTATTCAACCGCTCCCAACCGTTTGCCTTGCAAAGAGCTCATATGAGAGGTAAAAAAATCCTCGATTTGTTATTGCCGCTCAGCTTGCTATTTCGAGCATCTTGTACAAGCAGGTACCCCTACCAAAATTTAGCCTCCGGATGGCCTTTCAAGTCAGTATTCGATGGATTTTTGTAGGAAGTAATAGAAAAACGAACTTCTTAGACCTAGAGGTTCTCCTTTGCCTGGCGCTCCATCTCCTGCCACCATTTTCTGGCAGCTTCTTCTTGTGATTCTTCGGGCGTATTTTCATCAATCTGACCAGACGCCAAATTGGCGTCGGTCCCTTTCTTCTTCCGGAATTTGACCAGAGAGTCGTTCTTCGCTTGGGAATTGACTTGCAAATAAACATTCTTTATACCATCTTGGGACTCGCCAGCGTCCAGTCGCATTTGAAATTTCGAATCGTTGTCTCTAGCCTGTACAGGTGCAATCCGCTTTCCCGGAGTTTGCTTTTGGAACAGCTTTTTGTAGAGCCCTCCTTTGAAGATTGCATCTTCAAACTGCTTAAGCACTTTGGACATTTTGGGAAAGTAGAATAAAGTAAATCTGAGGAATATCAACGAGGAGCTATGTTGAGCACTTCCTCAAGTTGGAGACGCAGCGGAGGCTGTATTTATAAGTATACGCTGGGTTCTCTTCTAAGTATTGGAGCCCCGAGCGCTCGAGAACCCTTCATTATTGGCGCCGCAGAGTTAGGGGCGGCAATACTGGAGTCTTGAGTCGTCAGCTATCTTCAGATGAACAGTGTCACTGCAGTTCTTGTGGTTGCTTTGGCGGCTATCTTGGAAATTGACTGTAAGGAGTTTAGTAGATGATACCGAATTTTTTGGCTTCAGATAGCCTTTTAAAATCCAAATCAGCTTGCGTTGGGTACTATACTGAGCCTGGGGTCGCAATTTTGAGCCCAGGGGCCCAAATGTCAACCGTGGTTTACCAGTACATGCACACGATATAATGAACTACGGCGCTTAGTGATTGGGTGCTCGTGGACTGGCGTTTTGGTACGAGCGGGGACGAATAGCGGACGCTTTGACACCAGACCACTTTTCTATCACTCAAGTCACTTAAGCCGTTATGCACTGATTTTGATCGTGATGTCGCAAATGATATCGCACACTTCCTGGTAAACGAGAGGCAATTTCAGCCAGCGCTGCCCAAAATGAGTTAAAAGTTATTTAACGTGGTGGGATGTATTACGCCTGTCTGCAGCATCGTATTTCCTCATTCACCAATCCCTGTCGGATTCCCATGGATCCCGCACAAACTGTATAACTTGTAACCTGAAGTAGTCAGATAAATGGGATAAAGCTTTAACTAATCATGCCACTGTGGCTGATATAAGCAGGTGGGGCTCTCAGAGCACCACGTGATGAATTTTCGCGCGGGGCAGTCGAAAACCTAACCTTGTTGCCAGACAGGCCGTTAGGCAGATCGGAATCAGCAGTCGTGCCATACCTTATACAAAGCCTTCATGAAGTCAATATCTGCCAACTAATCAACTTGATCGCATTGTCTGGCGAGCGCTCTGAGATTAACTGCTTTTGCCTTGCGGTGACGCGCAGGATACACATTTTGGTGTCTTATAATTTTGTAGCATTTTGAAGGTAAGTTGCCAGCGCAGGTGTTCTCGCGATAAGGGCTTACACGTTCTCATAAGTTCATCTTCTCTTACCTTTCCATATGAGTTTGCCCAACAGCGACGAGATCCTCCAGCAAAACCTTGAGCCTGTTGAACACACGGTTGTGGAGGAGTTGAAAACCTGGCTGGATGCGAATTTACACGCGGAATGGAAGCAGTCTCCTCGGTTCAAACTTGTAGAGCAATGTTCGGAAATCAAATTACGGGAAATTCTCCAGCAGCTCGCGCAGGTCAGTACGCGTCGTATTTCTAAGTAGGTTTCGTGCTGACAAATGCAGAACTCCAGCGTCGCTCTTTTTCGGTCATCACACTCAGGCTGGGAGCTGAAAGAAGGAGAACTCATTCCCATATCTCACAGTCAAGGCTGTACCGTTAGATACGAAGACCGAACGTATCCTCTGGCCAATGGAACAAAGATGTGCATATCAAAGAAAGTTCGGGTGGAGATCCCCGAGGGAAATATTTTGTATCTAGTATGGAAGGTTAAGAACTCGAGTCGCTGAGAAGTCTGCAATCAAACCCTAGCTAATTTTGATTTTGAGCAAGCGGTACATTTTGTTCAAAAGAATAAAAGTGGGGGAAGAAAGAGGACTGCGGATCAACAAAATCCAGGTCGGTCATATCAAGCAAGGGAGCAACAAAATCGAGATCCGCTAGATCAAGGACATTCCCATTATTCGATATAGGACACTGCGGGGTCACGAAATCAAGAGCAGTGAGGTCAAGAACTGTTTCTTCAACTTGTGGTGACTGCGGACGGACGAAATCCATAGATGACCTCTCTTGGCTGGGGTTTGCAGAGCATGCAGCCGAAACCAAAGTGTTGAACCGGGACGGAACTTCACTGCTGACTGATTCCTGTGTGTCATTCCCAGATCCATGCTCCGCTTGCTCCGCTGGTCCTGCTCTGGATTGACTGGCTCCTGAGGCCTGCCACGCAAGAGAGTTTGAAGCAGACCCTATAGTAACGGGCACACACGATCCCTCACTTGGCAATCCCGCGAGAAGCTGCGCGCCTGGAATAAATTCACCAAGTCGTTTGGTACTCCCTGGGTGGCAGGTCTCGACAGCAGAAAAGGATCTTGGATTCCGTTTCTTACTTCTCTTTCCGCCAGCTCTTGCGTGCATCTTTGTATCATGCTTTCTTTTGCCTGTCAAACTTTGCCCTGGGTCGATTTCGGCAATCCAAATGAACTTAGCATGAAAATCTAACAAGTACTTAGCCATAGAGGTTGCGTTTGATTCTTCGGACTTCTTTATGATGTCAATTCCACGAAGATATTTGATGGTCAGATTGAAATCTTCTCCAACGAGACCTTTATCGTCCCATCTTTAAAGCAGTTAGCAGAGAAGTGATTGTGCGTCGAATAGAAGCTCACATGCTATCTGGAATAGATGAGAAAAATAAGGGCCCGTAAATCTCATTGTATTCTTCCCTGTTTACCACACCACCATCGCTAATGTCATCGGCTTCCATATTTTTATGGACCAATACACCGGCTGCAAGCTCCTGGCAGAAGTTGGTGTGTCTTTGCCCTCGTCGAATGATGTCACCGTATTTGTCAACGTCATTGTCTGAAATAGAAAGACCCGCACGAATCAAAAATCGCTTCACGCTTGTTGTCACAACCCGAGACTCTGACGTCGGAATCGCTCGTCTAAAGAGCTTGTAGGCGGAGACAGCCACGAATCTTCGCAGAATACGTTGCTCATCGATATTATTATCTAACTGAGCTGCACCTTCCAGGAAAGTCTTTGCCCTATTTCGTTCTGCTTGCTCGCTATATCGTGGTAATGACTCAATGGGACTTTCCCAGAACTCAAAGGGGTTTTCCTCAAAGCGGGGGAAACGGTCACGTAGGGTTTGAAGCACCTCGAGACGATTGATGCTCTTGACTCGGTCGCGGTTCGCTTTGGAACTAGTTGTAGTGGTATTGAACAGTCTGCGAAGAGGCACATATAGCTGACGCAGAAACTCGAGCTTCTGTTTGTCATCCACAACACCGAAAGGACGGTCTTTTGGCAGGGTCTTCAAAACTGCGATAACATCACCGTTAGAAGGGCCGCTCGTGTTATTGTTTACCGATGCCGGTGGTTGGGAGTGATGCTGCTGGAGACAGGCCATAGTAGGATAATAAACAGAGAAGGGAGAAGGGGCAATGTCATAGCTGAGAAAAGGACGTCCAAACATGTGACTTGGCTTTTGAGACTAAGCGGTATTGCAGGACACTAATCCAAAATGGTCTTTCATAAGACTGCGCGAACTCCTATATGTTACTTTGGGTTTAGTGTTAACCAAGATATGTCTTTTGCACCATGGCCAGTTCTCTCATAGTGGCATTTGGCATTCACCAAAGTCAGTCCATAGTGGCTGGTACTCACGCTCCCACGTTTATTTCAGTCTTACTGGCGAACGCAATAGTTTGCGCTTCATTCGAGTTGGTGGAATATGTTTCTCGATCAATTTAATATTTCAAAATTCCGCTGATTTGCTCTTTGCTCTGTCGCAGATCTAAATCACTGGCATCTGAACAAGAAATGACAAGTCAGTGGCCATGAGATAAAGAGACTATTGTTTCTCTGGCTCATCCCACCTCTGAAACTCGACCAAGAATTTACCGCAGCGAGCTATGATCTGTTTGAGCTTACGAAGTATCCGTAAACTGCTTTCAAATTGCATGACCCGATTCTTTTCTCCAGGAAGCTCGCGCGAGACCGTTCTATTTGGTGGTCCAGATCCCAATCCAAATCCGTTGAGTGGATTCTCGAAATCCGGTATGCCTAAGATGTCGAAAGAGCAGGTTACCCTTTCTGGTGGCTCAGGTTCTGGTGTTCTTGCCAGAGACTCACCCCCAATTCGCTTGCACGTGGGTCATCCTTACCTCCTCATTGCTACAGAGCTCTAACCAAACAAGACCGTACGAATTTAGTTTCCTCCCAATGAACTCACACTTATGGAAGACATCAAAAGAAGGGGTCTCGATGATGTGGTTTTTGATGCCATTGCTCTTCAAGAGCTTGGCGATCAGCATCAAGCCCAGGATGACCATGGCATCACGCATGAAGCATTCCTAGTGGATCTAGCGGTGCTTGAAGTCGGTATTTCACGGGTCTTAGGAAATATGGGATTACGAAGTTCGTTCCTCTGAGCGGCGATGATCCGATTATTTTGCAACAACCAGTGGAAGATCTCGACTTAAAGAAAGCTCTTTGCTATCAACGCCTACATTCAAAATACTCACAGGAGTATGTAAAAAGGCAGCGTCTCACCGAAATTTTAGGTGTTGAAATGAACAAACTTTGGACTGACTGGTATGATGACTGTCTTAGAGAAATTGGTAACCGCTTTAGAAAGCTCGGTTATTGTTGATCAAAGCAAATGTAATTCATTTCATGTTTACCAATTACGCTGATCACTAGATAGGGCTCAATTCTGGACAAGCAAAAAGTCGAAGTTTGAAGAGTCCATTTCACACATTATGCTTCGATATCGACTCTGGAATATTCCCTTTACTTCACTGTTGTAAGGCCATCTCAAGAAAATAATCAAGCCGTGCGATGCTTCAGAAGAAGAAGTATCAAAATGCCAAGTCATCAGCGCTAGCATTAGAACAGTACCATAACTGAGATCGGGTAATATATTTCCCACGTGGAGGTGTAGGTCATTTTCGAGACAGGGTTCCTGGGATCTCCTGCTTCTCAGAGTGTTGCAGACATCTAGCAACATTTTAGCATTTTGGCTGAGGTTTTCTGAGGGTCTCCATTCCAAGAGTGATGGAGATGCGATGCTCAAGAAGAGCATTACCTCCAAAGCAATTTTTGCCGGCACATAGAGGAGTTGGGCAGGAATCGGGGCGGGCTACTGATGTGAGCATACCATCGTCACCAGAGAGAGGGGCGGATACTCACCATGGCTAGATCTTTGGTAATGACCAGGCGCAGTTGATAGCCACCTTGGACAGTAGAAACATGTCCATTTATAGCCTCCTGGGTTGAATAAAAAGCACCAGCTTAAGCTCGAAACCTCTCCATTGATGCTGTTACCACATACTCGTCTACATGATTTGAATCTGTTTGACAAATTAACTCCATGAAGTGCTTGTCTCTATCTCGCTTCGATTGCTTCTACAAAGCTACATACAAGCATTTTTTGGACCGGAAATCGAGTAGAAAATAAATGAGGACCTAGAGCAAACGAGCTCAATTGCTGCCGGCCCCTATAAGCTGACTAAACCTGCTGTAAATGACCCGGAAAATACTAAATCCTCAAAAGACCTCTACCAATTCGTAATCCAACGGCTGGTTATCAGGGGTGAAGCACTAAAATAATCAACGACCTATTCTGTCAGCGGGTATTGTACATAATGATTATGAGGAAAGAATTAATTAATTTCAGTCACCCTAAATCTCGCGGCGTTGCCTAGACCTGTTGTCCACCGACAGCTTGAATATATATAGTTCTCCTCGCTCTGCACCTATATTTTCCCCAAACAAGTCTATTTTCATTCCTCTATGAGGCCTCTTCCTCGAGCCCTGAACTATAGCAAAATCTCTCAACACAAAGCAGACTTGCCAGAATGTCCTCCCCTTCATTCTTCAACATTGGAATTATCGATGTTAATCCAGAATTTAACCTCCTTTCTAACGTCCCAATGGCCGACCTAAGCCGTGCTTTCTTCATTTGTTGGCAAGAATATTCTACAGAAGGCATGCCACTGTGAGTATCACCCCGCTAGCGCCATAACCTATTTATCTGACGAAAGCGTAAGAGACGAAGAGACTACCACTGGGGTGGAGTTTCGAGAAGAGTCACTCACTCCCCTAGGTTGTTTCATTCCTGCTATATTGCAGGATCCGCTGGTTGTCCGTAATATCCAGAATGATCCGCGCATTGGAGGGCTGAAGCTTGTCGTATATGAGTGTGTCGTCTATCAATTTTTCATAGGCTTAATGACTGACATAGTTATTTATGAAGCAGAAACCAGGGTATATCAAGAGGCCCTTCTTTTCTGTAAGCACAAAGACTGTCCCCTCATACATCCGAAATCAGCTAACATTGCAGGGCATTTTCGATCAAAATGGCTGCTTCGCGGCTCAATGCCCGACCTATCTTGAACTATGTATCCTTTCCGGAACGCGTACGGGATATCATCCTTATACAATCTGCCCTAGGTAACATGTGCTAGCGAGGATATTGGTGTTCTTCCGTATTAAATAGTATTATTAGCTTTGTCGACAATCAACAATCTGAAATATACATTTCGATGTCTTCTCCACAAGTGTACAGCCTCCACAGATCCCTTCGATGAAACGAGATTCACTTTTTTTGATTCCAGTGAGCCTCGCTTTGCGCCTTCAAAAGTTGCTAGATAGGCCTTTGCAGGGGCTTCTCGGGTATCTTGGTGATAGCACGAAAACCACTAACGTAGCACCTTCTCGAGGGTAATTGGTAGCCATTCAAATCCGCAACTTCACCAATCATTCCCGTACTAGACCCTAGTACTCAAAAGGTAGATGCTCCAGGCTGACATAAGTTTGAATGATCATCTGGCAGCCAGATATAGCTTCTTGCCCGGAACAATTGATAGCCATCTAATCTCCGGCTTCGCCGATCAGCCATATCTTAGACCCAGATACCCATACGCTTAACACTCTTAGGCTGGGCCTTGTCCCATGCAGCCTGGCATGGGGGAGCCCTAAGACTGGATGTCGATGTCTTTGTCCCCGTCTAGAAAGATCGATCTTGCTTAATATAGAAAGTTGGCTATCTCGGCCATACTATTTGTACGAGACGATTCCGAAGACCACGCCTAGACTGCGACAAGCACATCATCGTCACCCACTTCTGGTACTTACTTTAGTTCCATGATAAGGTGTGATCGTGACCACCTTGGACAGTATAAATAGGTCCCCTTGTATCCTCCTGGTTTGAATAAAATAGCACCAACAAAGTCTGAAGCCTATATATTGATGCTTTTACCATATACTCGTCCATATTATTTGAATTTGTTTGACAAATCAGCCCCGTGGAGTGCTTGTCTTCTATATCGCTTCGATCGCTTCTACCAAACTGCATGCAGGCATTTTGGAAACCGAAAATCGAGCAGAAAAGAGACGAGGACCTAGAGCAAATGATCCCAAATGCTGCCAACCTCTACAGGTTGACTGAACCTGCGATATATGAGCCGGAAAATACCAAATCTACATCTAGCCTCAAAAGGCCTCTAGCAGTTTGCAATCTAAAGCAAACGGAGAAGGGAAGAGCGTCGCAAATTAGTCTAATTAGAGACTGTTATAGTGAGTTTTTCCTGCTAAGCGCGAAACCTTTGATAATGCCTTCTCACTTTGCAACCTTTCAGAAAACAGACCTCAAACAGACTCTATACAATCATACGGCAACACAGATAGCAACATCATTGTGCTCCCTTACATCCCTCCAAACTTTCGATTTGTCAACGGCAGGATTATTGATGGGGAGCGAGATACACTGATTTCCTAAATGGTCAATCACACATTGGAAAAAAGATCATCCTCGAATATGGTGCTTAGACTTGGTCAGTTTACTGAGCTTCCAGTACATCTCCTTCTGATTTCACTTTATTCTCAGGAGCGTTAATTTTTATTGGCTTCTTGATATCTAAATCTCCGATATCCCCTATTGACTGAGGTGAAATAGTCCCGGAACTTCTGTAGCATAATATACCACCAGAATATGTCAATAATCCAGGCATGCTCTTCCAAGTGATATATCATGATGGACATTGCGAAGTGATTCGCTGTGAATAGTGGGTACATAGGAGACCAGAAATGTGCGAGATAGTTCCGGCTCCACATGAAAAAAGGGACTGGTGAATTGGAATTTTGTTGGAAAACAATGCGCAAACAAAGCGTGTAAGGAAAGAGGGAAAAATGCTTCGCATTGCATGGCAGATGTTTCGTGGCCAAATCAATGATTCTTGGTTCATGTATTACCTGTCAGAGAGCAAAGGTGTCAGCCTACTTCTCATTATTAATGGGTAGTTCTCGATATAGTTAGGTCCCTTTGGAAGCGAGATAATTCCTATAATATCACAAATGAAGGCACAAATATAGTAACCGACAGGAAATATATGCGATAGGTGTGGTATTCTGTTTCTTTTTGGCTCAATAGACACGAGACGTTGCAACTGCCACCAACCGTGCAGACTCTTTTCTTTGGGGTAACAAGTTTCGTTATTATGGGATTCCGTTCGTAATACAGAATGATGCGTAGAGGGATGTCAAAACTTGCTGCTGTATAGCTAAAAGATAGTGACATATATGGCATCCGATGTGAGAAGCGGTGTGATCTGGTGGATGATATTAGCTACGCTTGCTTATCGTAGTTTAGCAATGGTTCTGTCATACCAGTTACTAAGTATGTGTGGTCGCTTTCAGGCATGTCGGTGTGACATTCGTCTCGGAGCCCTGAGTCGAGGTGCACGTCCAAGTCTGTCTCATGCGTTTCCTGGCCGTTTTGCGTCACAGCTCTCTCTATTCCGATATCAAATTCATTTCCTGCACGAGAATCCAAATTTTCCTTCAGGGCATCTCGAGATGCCAGAGAGATATCAGTGCTGGCACCAAATGCTGAGCTGAAGGTCGCTTCTTGATTATACGGCCTCGGCGGAAGGGCACGGGGAAGAGGTTGAGGAGCCACAGAGGCATTATAGGCCCTCCAACAGGAAGCAGGGAGCGCACGCGAGGAAGTCTTTGTAGGAGGGTGAGATTAGAAGCTAATGTTGTCAAGGCTGATATGCATGGCGGTCAAATCAACAGACGGTAAATGAGAAGTGATCAGCGAAATGGAAAAGGAGTGCGAACCGCTTATAAATTATCTGAAATAACTTCTTTAAACAACGCCAAGTAGCTCCGCCGCATCGCCGTATCGCCACTCGGAGGTTGCACATGCCAGCATCCTCATTCAGCTACCATATCTCCTGAGCTACATTGGGATCCATAAGAAAGTGGACCCACAAGCAAAGAGATACAGATACTAGTCAAATGTTCCTTCCCACTCCGCCCCACTATATTGGCCCAACAACCAACCCAAGTTTTTTTTTCACTCCTACACCTCCCCTATTGCTCCGATTGTAATGAAATTAGGACCAAAAAGTAGCAAAACGGCGCAGCTATCTACGTCCCAAAGGTCAGCTATTATCTATGCTCACGAGAATGGCGCTACGCAAGTGCAATTAGCTAATGACTTTGGCTGCTCTCGGCGTACAATCTACAATACGCTAAAACGCTATTCAGAAGGCGAAAAGCTAGAGAATCGCGAAAAAAGCGGCCGTCCCGCTATTATTAGTGAGCGCGCTTGCTCTCATCTCTATTTACAGGCACGTCGGCATCCGTTTTGGACCTATAAACAGCTAAGTGCTGCTACAGCTCAGCATCCGTCACCCTCCACTATACGTCGAATTTTGAAGCGATTCGGACTCGGAAAACGGCGATCGAAACAGAAAATACCAATTAAGCCTCCTCTTGCAAGGAAGAGGCTAAAATTTGCGCGAAAATGGCGACGCGAAAGCTTCCAATCGTGGATCTTCTCGGACGAGTGTTCGGTGCAACGAACCTCGAACTTTGGACCACAATGGTGCTTTCGTACAACCTCGGAGGGCCTTCGTAAGGACCTTGTGAATGCTAAGGCTCACGTTAAAGATATTTCACAAATGGTTTGGGCCGGAATCTGGCTAGGAGGTCGAACAGAATTAATAATTATGGAACGGGACAAAGAATCGCGGTCGGGGAGGGGTTATACTGCGAAGTCTTATATTTCGACGCTCGAAAAAGGTCTGATGCCAATCTACACCCCTAATTTAGTATTTCAGCAAGATAACGCGAGGATTCATCTAGCGAAGGACACGCAAGAGTGGTTTGAAACTCACGGAGTATACGTCGAAGACTGGCCCGCGCACTCACCCGATTTGAACCCAATTGAACCGGTATGGCGCTGGTTAAAAGTGAAGCTTTTTGCATTATTTCCGGAGCTTATTGGCATGGGAAGGTCGGAGGCAGACTGGCATTATTTTAAAAAATGCCTAGTGGAAGCTTGGAAGGCATTAGATCAGGCAAAGATAGATACGCTAATATTGAGCATGGGAAGACGTTTGAAGGCAGTGCGGAAGGCTAAGGGGTACAGTCAACTCTCGCTTATACCACAGCATACTATCCAAGCCAAATTACGTGGTATAATTGAGTTGTGTTTTGGTGAGAGGATGACATAATATTTGACAAGCTAACTCTAAGCCCTAATACCTATTTAGTCTTCCATCCCATCATCTGATCCAAAGTCACCTGACGTTTCTCATCAATCTGAATCCTGCCAAAGTCGCTGATTAAGCTCTCAATTTGTCTAATATGGTCCGAGGTACCCTTTTCTTTGCTACAAACCCATAGTAGGATATCCTGGAGGCTGTCCAATATAGCAGAATTAGACAGAAGCTCAGGTGGGGGCCCATCAATGTCAATATCCTGAATTTCTGAGGTTGTTGGGGCAATATATATATCTTGCTCATTGGTCTCATCTCGCCCTTCAGTCCCATCTTCTAACATGTCTTCGTCCGAAGGGTTCAAAAACTCGTCAAATGGCACAATATCTTTATCACCAAGCTTATCAATTGCTTGATTATATAGACTTTCAATCTCATCACTCAATCCGGGCTCGGAAAATAGTGCAGACTCAGGTGCGGACTCGGGCGCGGACTCAGGCATAGGTATAGACTTTGGACTAATCAAAGTACTTTGTTTAAAGCAATTGATAATCGTTTGGTCTGATACACTTGTTCTCCAAACTTGCGTTACCCAGGTAACAGTATAATAAATGCTCATTCTTTGTTTTGGGTCTATCCCACGATCAAGAAAAGCAATCATATAGCGCATCCATTTCTTCCGATAATGGTGCTTCAAGTTTTGGATAATACCTTGGTCCAAGGGTTGATAAATTGAAGTTGCGTTTGCTGGCAAAAAAACAACCGTAATCCGGGGTGGTGGTGGCGCTCGCTGGAGTCCAATAACATGTGGTGAAGCATTGTCTAAAAGGAGCAAAGCTTTCTTATCTAAGGGAATACGCCCATAGAAAGATCGCAACCAGTCCTCCATAATGTCATGACGCATCCATGCTGCCTTGTTGTGACGCCAAACACATCCCAGAGCTCGGAAATTAACCCCCCGGAGTGCGCGAGGGGTTTTGCTGTGCCAATCAACCATAAAGGGACTCGATCGGAACCATCCGCATTTGATGCAACAACAATAGTGATTCGTGTTTTATCAAGCTTTTTGCCAGCAATTTTTCCCTTTGAAAGACCACCATTTGGCATACGTCGCCAAAATAGGCCAGTTTCATCCATATTGTAGATTTCGGACGGTTTGAATTGATTGCAAATCGATTTGGTGCTTTTGATCTGATCATGTACCGAGGATGGGACTGAGGCAGCTTCTCCGTGGAAAGTATGATATTGAAGAGAGTGGCGTTGTTTGAAGCGAGTTAACCAACCCTCAGAGAATTGAGGTTTGGTCCGATCTTTGTATTCCGGTATTTGTCTCCAAAGCTCAGCTGCTTTAGTTTGGATCAAAGGGCCATTTATTGGTATTCCATTGCCAATATGGTTATCTGCCCAGTCATATAGCTTTTGGTCCAATAATGGCCAATGAGAGGATGAAGATCGTTTGTTTGCCCCTGCAGGGCCCGTATCAAGATAATTGTATTTGGATGAAAGGATCCTTGATATGGTTGACCGGTCAATCACTTGTTTGAATTGGTCCTCAAACCACTTAGCACATGCAGTCTGCGTGGGCTTTGGGCTAGTATTAGACCAAAATGCCCGTAGTGCCTGTTTCTGCGCGTCTGATATACCCAATTTGGTACGCTTTGGTCCCATTCTGACGCGCTTGGGTGGGGTCGGGAGGGTAGGAGAGCTTGTAGATTGAGGCATTCTGATTGGTTGATTGCGCTGACTAAGCAGATTTGAGAGGAAGAAAGTGTGGTAAAACAAAATGTGTTATATTCTGTCAATTTATATGGAAAAAACTGGAATGAAGGGGCCATCCAAGCAAGGGATGTGTTATTATCAAGAATGTGCAATATCCCACCGTGGTATAAGCGAGAGTTGACTGTATATATACAACGAGAAGAACAAGTTGATTTCCAATCAACTTGCTTCTTCGTATACATATCTCGGGACTAATTTCGATGCTTCGGCTTGCTTCCTGATCTGCACCAGCCTCATATCACAACATTCCCCCCTCAGAATCGCTTTGCTGGCAGGGCGATACTGGAATTGCGCAGAGCAGTCAGGCCTCGGTAAAACCACTCAAAAAAACCCCTTTCTGGGAAAACAAAGTGGAAAGAGCGCCTGTGCTGTCTCATGCATATTGCCTTGGAGTCTCTGAGGCGTCGATTCCTAAGAGACTACAAAACTTGACAAAGGACGCAGGCCCCAATGGCTTGGTGAGACCATCTGCGGCCTGTTCCTCAGTTGGAACATATTGAAGCCCAATCTCGCCTGCATCCAGCACGGCTCGCTGATAGTGAAATTTCACTTTGAAATGCTTCGTCCGCTTGTGGAACTCAGGATTGCGAGAAAGTGCAATGGCAGATTGGTTGTCAGCCATGATATTAGTGACCGGAGACCGATATAATTGCGTTTCAGCTAGAAAGGTGCGGAGCCACTGCAGATGCAGAATAGCATTGTACTGTCCGATGTATTCGGCGTGTGTCGTAGACGTGGCCACTTCCCCCTGCCTTTTGGACGACCAGGAAACTGGCGCACCTGCAAGTTGGAATACATAGCCAGACGTCGAGTATGCACCGTCAGTGACGACGGAGCCACCAAAGTCGGCGTCTGTATACCCGATCAGCTGCCCACTGCGGTAGGTAATGCGATGAGATTGCGTGGCTTTGATGTAGCGAAGCAATCGCTGCAGAGCGACTTGGTGGTGCGATTGCGGCTGAGCCGTGAAACGACTCAACTTGCCCAGCGCAAACGCAATATCCGGTCGCGTGCCAACCATCAGATACATCAACGAACCAATGGCAGTCGCATAACGAGCTTTTGCTTCCTCGTCCGGAGGTTCCTCGTCTGGACGATGATTCAGGATGTGCTTGGGATTCATCGGCGTAGACTTCGGTTGACAACTCTCCATGCCAAACTCGGAGAGCACCTTCTGGATGTACTGGTGTTGGTGAATGGACACGGACCCATCGACGTGATAGTCGAACTGGATCCCGAGGAACGAACGCGGGGTGTCCAGATCGTTCAGTCGGAACTCTGTTTGCAATGCTTGTTGCACTTTTTCGATTTCGTGCGTGTTTGCCGCAGCAACAAGGAAATCATCGACATGGACACAAACGACGCAATTCGATTTGTAGAACACACAGTTGTCCGATTGGGCCATGGTGAAGCCATGAGAAGCCAGGACGCGGTGGACGCATTGGTACCAAATCCGCGGAGCCTGCTTCAGCCCATACAGTGAGCGGCGCAGCCGACACACGTACCCTGGCTCTTCAAAGCCTTGGGGCAACTCCATATAAATAGACGAATCGACGTCTCCATGGAGAAATGTGGTGACCGCATCGAATTGGTGGAGTTTCCATCCGCGCAACACGGCGCTGGCTACAATGCAGCGGACGGAGTCCATTCGCGACACAGCAGCAAACGTTTCGTGATAGTCGATGCCATGTTTCTGCCGGTAACCTCTGATGACCAATCGCGCCTTGCGCGTTCCGTTGGCTTTGGTCTTGACGACCCATTTACAGCCAATCACATGATCTCCGGCTGGGATGTCCTCTCGCCGAACCTTTTCCCATGTTCCGTGTTCGAGAAGCGACGCATATTCTTTCTGGATGGCGGCCCACCATTCCAGCTGGGTTGGGCCTGACACGGCCTCGTGGAAGGTCGCCGGGTCGACTTGTCTGGCCGGTGCGGTATTCAATGTGCCTGCCGAGTACACCTTGCCTAGTGACTCCAGGAGTCGCCGCGACGGTCTTCGTCTGCGACCATAGATCGAATACCCAAGATCCGATGTCAAGTCGTTTCCTTGTTGGCTTGGATTGACCACTGGAAGTGTCTCCTCTTCACGCCCAGGTGTCGTTTTCTCTCGCTCACTCGCCAGAGGTACTGGCGATGCCGGTGGTGTTAGCAGCCCTCTGGCTAAACGTGGCATTGATGGAAAGACAGGTGATGGAGGAGCGTTGTCCGGGAGGCCGTTGCCTGTTTCCCCCTCGATGAGTGGCGCCACCGGGGTCCTCTCATCGAACTCGACATCACGGGAAAAGACTGTCTTTCCAGAATGTATCTCATAGAGCTTGTACTGGTTCGGTTCACAATAGCCTAGCAATCGACACTCGGATGATCTCGGTCCGAGTTTTGCTTGATGTTCCTTTGGGATTAAGACCCATGCACGGGAGCCGATCCGTCGCAGATGCAAGAGCGAGGGCGGCTTCCCATATAGAATTTCAAACGGTGTCTTCTTCTGTAAGATCGATGCTGGCGCGCGTAGCTTCAGATAGACCACCGTGTCCAAGAGCTCGACCCACCAGGAAGGAGAAAGGTTCGCATCGGACAGGAGCGTGTTGATCCGCTCCCGGATAGTACGATTGGTGCGTTCGGCCAGCCCATTCTGCCCTTTGCAGTATGGCGGCGATGTGTCGAACTCAACTCCCTGGGATTCGAGATGTGTTCCAATTGGCAGATATTCTCTCCCGTTATCGGTGAGGAATCTTCTGATCTGGGCGCCGAACTGTCGGTGCACCCAGGCCTCAAAATGTCGGAACTTCTGGAGCGCTTCATGCTTCCATCTCATGGCATAGGCCCACGAGCCACGAGAATAATCGTCAGTAAAGGTGATCACGTACCTGGAGCCATCTTTGGCAATCGGCATCTCCATGATGTCCGAATGGATCAATTCAAATATTCTCGTTGAATGCAGACGTGGCCGTCTTGCGCGGGAGTTCCTCTTCTGATGCTGCTTACCCGACATGCACGCCGGGCACTGCGGCGTTGCCAGCAGCTGCGCCTGTGTCAGCGGTCGGTACGGAGTGCCGGTCTGCCGGAGGACCACCCTCAAGTCTCCCCGGTTCAGATGTCCCATCCGAGCGTGCCACAACGCTTCGGAGGCCTGGTCCACTCGCTCGGCGCATCTAAGAAACATAGGCCCCCACGCCCATAGCTGGTGTTCTTTTTTTCAGGGTACCGTCATCGCTAGAGACTCGCACGTCAAATTCTATTTGCTCGATCCAGCCACCGGGTTCGAGGGCGCTATAGCGAGAGTAAACAGATATGAGCGTTGGTGACACAAAAGATCGAGAAATAAGGATTGAAACTCACTCGTAAGCCTGTTTGTATAACTGGTCCCATCCCTCAGGAGGAAAGGCGCCATACATTAGGCGCATATGGATAAAGTCAAACGAGTCTCTCCATGTCCACTCGCGGAGCACATCATCCACTTCGAACACGCAGTTTGGAGGCATCCATGACACTGGCGGGGGAAAAATATCCACGCCGCGGACGGTAGCTAGCCGGTGTCAGCCCAGAACAGAAGGAGTCGTCTCGCGAAATCTAATACCCGACGGATAGCGATCGGCAACATCACTAAGGACTCGTTAATGGTTTTCTTGAAACGTGTTGCTCATCGGATTACATTGCCCAACTCCCTTGACCAGTTCCGATGTCCAGAATATGCTACATTGTGATGTTAACGGGAGTTCAAGTGAGTGTCGCCTTGGGAAGTTCACCTTGGGTGAATCGCCGATAGGGGCGCAGAAAAGAGGATTCGGCTGGTTGAAATCTAGAACAAGAAACACCATATGGCTGAGTTCGTTATAATCACAGACCTTCTATTAGTGAGACATGAAAGATATGAGGATGAGATGCGATTTACCCAATCTCAAACGCCTCAAATTGCTGCTCGTCAGAAGGTCCCCTGGACATGGTTACTTCATATATACACAAACCAATGCTTCGTAACTAACCAATAATCATCTTCTTTTATGGCCTGGTATCTACTTCTCAGGTTAGAATCAGGAAACGAACTTGGGCTGGATTAGACTGACCTTCGGCCGTTTTCTAACCGTCCCCTCGCGATCGAGGACGCAATAGAGGTGGTCTCTCTGAACACGTACTAGAGTGAGAATACGACAGTAGGTATGCTGTAGTTGCACTCACGACTGAAAGTCCTGCGGGTCTGTGCCAAAGCCAATAGCTATAGAGTAGAAGTCCGGGTCCTAGTCGAGACATGAGAATGACCGCATCAGAACGTGAAACACTATTTACCACTGCGATTGGCTCCATATCTTCAGTCGTGGTCGTGATGATTTCCCAAAGACTTGGGTGAAAGCTGTCGACGTCGGAGCAATTTGAGAAAACGGTTGGGCGAAAAATGGAGGCCGGGGAAAGTGGGACGTTGGGGCGAAGTGTGACCAACTCACGCTTATACTAGGTACTAACAAAGAAAAAGGTAAAAAAAGTACCAGGCGGGGAAGGCGGGAGCTGCTAGTGATTAGCCAGGTGTTGACTTGTCAGGGAAGTGGAGCGCCAACTTACTGCGAGGACAGGATAATCACCAATTAATCTACAGTGGTACTTCGGGCGTCGACCGCTGTTCATACCGCCTACTTAACTAGGTCATGAACCTCGCGCGTCTCAACGTGATAGCTAGACCTCGCCAAAATCGCGGGTTGGGTTTCGACCCTTGACCCAAAACCCGCCAAGAAACTTGAATACAGGTAATATATACCATATTACATATCATTAGCCGTGTCACGGGACGACCCCCCACCCTCTCGGGTAGGGGGTGTCCCTCAGCCATAATGCAATTCTCAGCCATAATGCAATTCTCAGCCATAATGCAAATTCTCTACTTTTTCAACTTTACGCGTATTCCTACCCACCAAAAATGCCTAAAAAACCTCGTGATGAAGAGGATCTGCTAGCTAAGGCACTACATGCTTATACTACGCGAGAATTTTCATCCCTACGTAAGGCTGCGGACCATTATCGCGTGTCTTATTCGAAGCTTCGCGGTCGCAAAAACGGACAGACATCTCTCTCCGATCGCCCTACCACCAACAATGCATTGAATTCGAATCAGGAAAATGCATTAATTAGCTGGACCGAATTGCTAAATTCTTGCTATACACCTCCAAAGGCAAAAGACATTGAAATTGCCGCAAATCGCCTATTGAAAATGGCAGGGCCGGAGAGAGTTGTCGGCCCAATGTATAGCTATCGGCTTATACGGCGTCTACCTCCATATATCAAGCTTATTACCCAAAAACCAAAGGAATCTTTACGAATTCAAGCTGAGGATCCTGGAGTTATTAGCCATTGTATGATAGGCTTGAGTATCTCTACTGTGAGCATGGTTTTGAACCTCATGAGATCTATAATTGGGATGAAACCGGCTTCCAAAACGGCGAAGGACTTAACCAACATGTCGTCTCTACGCGTCAAACTGCTAGCATTGCTACTAGAGATCGAGGTGAAACTATTACTGGCATTGAATGTATTGCCGCTGATGGCTGGGTGATGTTTCCATGGTTTCTAGTCAAAGGCAGCGTCCACATAGAAGACTAGTATAGCAATATGTCAACCTCTTCTTCGGCGTACAAAATCATCCATTTAACGTCTAGTGGCTGGACAGATAGTGAGACTGCCTACCGATGGCTCTGCTCGTTTCATGAAGCTACAAAAAACCGCGTACGACGCGGGCGACCGAGGCTTTTGCTAATGGATAATCATGCATCTCATACAACTATCGAATTTCTCGATTTTTGTAAGGAAAACTTGATTATTCCTTGGTATTTCGTACCTCACACGACTCATCTATATCAGCCGCTTGATGCTGAGGCTTTTTTAAGCTTAAAGCATCATTTTAAAATGGCGAATACTGAAGTTATGGCGTAGGGTAGAAGCAATGAAAAACGCGACTTTTTCCGCGAAATTGATGCCGTCCGACACCGCGCCCTAAGGTGCAAAACTATCCAAACCTCGTTTAAATCTACTGGTATCTAGCCACTAGATCCTAAACAAGTTTTGGATAATTTGGGGCAGTATTCGGATGAAGAAACCCTACGCATGTATGACGAGCCGTCACCGTCACCCGCCCGCGAGTTTCCAAGTTTAGCAACAAATTCCCCGCCTAATTCTTATTCGCGTATTGCGAAATTAGAGAAGGCGGTTTTTCCACTACTTGATGACACGAGTCCTGATTTACGGAAAATTCGGAAGCATATACGGCGCGCAATTGATGCCGGAAAATCGTCTCTATACAATGCGGAACTTGCGGAGATGAGCCTTACGCGCGCCCTTAGCCACAAAACGCCTGGAAAAAAACCAAAAAGTAAGCGATGGGTAAAGGGAGCTACGAAAAGTCCCCTTTCATCAATTTCAGGTAATAAGCTAGTACAGCGGAGGTGTGAGAAAGAAGATGAATCGAAGCTTCGTGCTTGGCGGAAAGACGCAGTGAAAATGGCGGCCGATTTGGCGGCTAAGGAATTGGAGGAAACCCTTGAAAATGAGGAGGATGATACATTATTGGCTAATGAGGCTATTGACGGGCTTTATTTCATGGATCCTGGACCTTATACGTCTAGAAAATAAGCTAGAAGTTGAAAAAATTGAAAATTTGCATTATGGCTGAGAATTGCATTATGGCTGAGGGACACCCCCTACCCGCAAGGGTGGGGGGCGGTCCTGTGACACGGCTATATGAGTTACGGTCTGTATTACAACTGTTATTCCGTAATATACGGGCTCATGGGTTCTTGGCGGGTTCGCGGGTACCCGCAGGGTACCCAAAAAAGCAATATGGCGAGGTCTAGTGATAGCATTCACGCCAACGCGTTCTAATACAATTCTTGCATTCTAGTGTTGAAACATGCCTTTGACACCTAGGCGTCTCATGAAGTGATAAGGCCAATTTTTGCTGACCTGCTGGTCAGCCTTCCCAGCGCGTGCAAGGGCTCGATTCGCCCGAGCCCCTGGCAGACCAGGGGTGACAGGCATATTCCAATTATCTATGTGTACAACTCACTGTACCAAAGCTCCCTCCTGATACCCATCGAGAGTACAATTTACCGGTCTGTAGTTGCCACACGGAAAGATCTGCAAGATTCCGTGCTGGATGCAGGAACTGAAGCGGTTTGCGGCTTAAGTGAACCAGCAACTGCCCCGGAACGGCTCGCTAATGTCTCGATTTTCTGGCAATTCGGTGTCACTTTGCCTGTGGCGTTCGTTTGACGTAGACTGGTGTACTACAAATGCTTATTAGGTCACGGTACTCAAAAGAGAACAATATTATATTGAGCCAGCTAGAACTTCCTTTCTCTAGTAGGGTATACTGCCAAGTGGTCTTCTATAAAGCATCTCAATAGAGCGTACGTGAAGGGGCATATGCGTTAGTTAATATGAGGCCCGACTAAGCGGTCCTGATTCCGGACGTGTTAGGTAGGCGAGAGAACAATCCATCAGCCGCTGCCTCATACCCTGCTCCAAATACGTTGGCCAGAGCGGAAGTCCTAAGAGTATAGCAGAAATCCCGTTGCTGTGCATTATAAGAGGCAGTGGATGTTCCCACACGTATGGGGGAAGTCGATAGGAGCCAGGTGGGACGCTAGCGCGCTATTCTGAAGGTATCGCATAGTGAGAAGCGACGGCGCCACTAAATACAGGCACGTTGTCTGGCGCTCACACTCATGGCCGGCGTACATGGTCCCATTTTCAATCGTAGATTATATTCCGAAATCCTCGAGATATAAAAACGACATGAGCCTGTATTTGTGCCGACGGATTATCTCCTGTGTTCGTCTTAGCGTTAGCCAGAACCCTTTAGGACCTCTCTTTTTATGAAGTACTAACTTGCTGAAAAATGGAATTATAGGTGAAAGAAACGGAATAATTACAATTGAAAGCATTTCCAGCTTATCCTGTTCTGAAAGTGAGCTTCGGCATTTAGAGTCACACGCTCCTTCGTATATTGGTCATTCCGCCGGAACTAAGGTCAGAATACAGGAGGTCAAATATGTACTTATGATAACTTACACCAACTATTTGGTTTGTCATGTGACTCTGGATGATTCCTGAGAGTAGTTAGATAGTCCTCGAGGGGTCTCTCTCACAATAAATCCATCATTTATTGCCCGTTTCTTTCCCCTGTCAAGAGAAAGGCACGGACCTAGGGTTTGGGGTGGAGAACAGCTTGTAGGTTAGCCAATAATTTCAGTCCTTACAGTACACCATCTACCGAACTCCACCGCGTCCTCGGCGAAAGTATAAACATCAGGGATTCGGCTGTGTATACAAAGTGTCAACCAGAATTCTCGCAGCGATGCCGCAGAAAAGGTATCATGGGTCACCTATCCCATACTAATTTAGTTTTATGCAAAGTCCAATCCCCTTTTCCAAATCCCAAGCCAAACACCCAGCCACCACCACATATACACACCCAGTGGACATGACTACACCAAACTATCGAAACTGGCATGCTTCCCATCCCGCGACAGATTATCGGGGGTCACTTCACCAACAGTATACTTTACCGACACATCCATCGTCTTAACAATTCCCGCAACCCCATTCTCACTACCACTGCTAATACTCGGACTATCCCCGCCCCGGCGATACTTGCGCATATCGAAGCGGCCGCTACCGCTTCGGCCAATACTCACAGTATTCCCAGCATTCGGTCCGCCATCTCGTATCCGTCGTCCGCGTTGCAGTGCAGCGGCGACATGTTGCTCGTAAATAGCTTCGAGCCAGGGAATCGCCCGCGCGAGCCGCTGGTGCCGATGGCGTAGCTGGAGGTTTCACGGCGGGATGTGCCGAGGAGACGGGGGAGGTATCGGCTGGCAATGGCTTTCATGGAGGGGCCGCAGGCGGTGATCACGGCGACGTTGACTTCGATGGCGGAGCTGCAGAAGCCGATGTTGTAGGTTGGGTCGAGGTTGACTTTGTGGGTGAGGAAAACCTGGGCGAGGATGACGATGCGCCAGACGCCGATGGCGGTTGCACTGTAGGAAGGGGGTTAAATTTAGAATTGCAATTGCGATTGGTTTGAAGCGGATCGTATCGTCTGTTCGAGACACAGGGAACTTACACTCCACCCAGGCATAGGATGACGCAGACGGCAATCTTCCGTCGCAGGGGCATCTGCAGGCTCCACGTGATAATGATGGGAATTGACAGCACCACCAGGTCCGTGAGCAGATTAAGCGCCGCAGTCGACACGTAGAAGCCGCCTTGGTCAATGCACGTGCCGCCTGGAATCGACATATCATAGACATAGGCGATTGGACGACATTGGAAGATATCAACGAATAGTGTCGCGATGAAGAGCCCGACGATGAAAGCCATGGCGCCCCAGATCAGGCCGTTAACCACGCGCGACTGAGATTCAAGCCTACGCAGGAGAAACAAGATGGACAGCTTGACGACGGTCAAGGCGGGATTGTAGACCAGCTGGTTGACATAGTTCCACTGTTCAATGACTCAGGGTAAGTTAGAGCATCCATCGTTGACAGCCGCCAGAATACTGACAATGAACCCCGTCTTGACATCACGGTCTTTTGGAATATCGTGGTAGTGTATCCCGATGTAGTTGGTTTTGATATCTGAGGGCGCTGGGGTCAGTACATGCTGCGAACCTTCTTTTCTTTTGGCATTGGTATACCCACAAATTATCATCCACACACACGTAGCCTGGGCCAGATGCTTCCGCTGGCTGGTTCACTATTCCCCTCCCGCTTGATGCTCGGTTATATATATTGCGGGGCCGATCCCTCAGCTGTTTACATGGGCTTCCAACAGGCAAATCGTGGCAGGTGACCATAACACCACAACGCCCGGATGGAAAGCACTTTAGTATGATTAGAAAGCTCGCATCCACCAGATTCCAAAACTAGTTTTCTTTTTACATATTATTGAAAATTAGTGACAGGGAAGTGAAATACTCTCAGCCAATAGAAACTCGAACGAAAAACCCAGACGAAGGTCACGTGTAGGAAACTCAAGACACAAACAACCAGCGCCACGACGCTTGTTGTACATTGAATGTAGCATCATTAGAATCAAAACAGTAGTCTTCTTCCGCAATTCCTCTATCTTTTAATCGCCCTCGAAATTGGTGGCAGGATAGGGCGGATAGTGGTTCAGCCAATAGAAACTCGGACGAAAACCCCAGATGAGTCACGTGCCATCGCATCTACTGGCCAGGGTCTGTTGTGCTGGGGCACAAACAGGAGGCAGTTGTTGAGATAGGTAATTGTAGTGTTCTTGTTGAGGTTACTATCAAAAGTGGGAACCCCGTCTATTTAAATGTCCATCGCTAGTCCTGCCATAAGCTTTGACCACCGCAATACTCAACAGTTCGATTCGATTCGATTCGTGCGGAGCGGTACCTTGAATTAGAGATTTGTTCGCGAGAGTTCGAGGGTATAGAGTGTTGAATTTCAGCTCGTTCTTTTGCATTATTATAAATACCCTGGAAGCGATTACCCTAGAAAAGCAACTAACTATGAAGTATAGCATAATCAAAATATCCCTCCAGGCGATCTCTAGCGACACCCCGCACTTTTGATTGACGCTGCGTCACCTGATCTTCAAAACGACAGCTTTTCCGGAATTCCTCATTTTTACCACCCTCCTCGATATCCATACAGACAACGTGCCTTCTAGGCCTTGATGCCATCTGTACTCGTGCTATCTGGGTTAAAGTTGGCTATGCTTGCAAGATGTCGTCAGTTGTGAAATGTTCGGCCAAGGGATGCCACGTCTCCTCCGAATTGGGCGAATACGACTCGATGATGCTTAGGCTCGGCTTTTCCAACTGCTGCAAGCACCTCGAATTCGAATCGAACGAGGTCACGACGCGGATCGAATACAGTACTCAGCAGTTGAACGTGGACATGATTACAGTGGTTTTTTACGATATTGGTCTGAGCATGGATGGTCAGGTCGAACAATTGACCGCATTTTCTCTCACTGGCGAAATATTCTCCTCTTTCATAAAAACGACCCTCAGGGCAAACAAGAAGTCGGCTCAAAGGAAACTCCCGAATGACCTCTACAACGCGTTGTCAGAGGAACCCAAGGTTGCGATGGAGAGGTTCCACCAGTGGATCAAAATGATACACTCTATGAACACAAGGGGCAACTCAGACTTAAGGAATGTTGTACTCACAGCGCATTTCGGCTCCTGCCACTACCACATATATTTATTAAGAACAATGCTTGGCTGTGGCGTTGTACCCCCTGATTTCAGGCTCGCGGACTCCCTAGCGCTTTTTATGCTGATTAAGGGATCTGATGAGGACGCGGGCATTGCTTTGCTAGTGGCTAAATACGCCACCTGGATGCAATATGATCCAAATAATGCCGACAATGATGCGCGGGCGCTGAGAACTTTAATCATGACTGTATTCCCGGAAACAAAGGCGGCTTGCTACGCATTCAGTATCAGCTGCGAGGAATTTTTGGAGAGGACTAGATTGAACGAGCTGGAGTTTGGTCACTTGGGGTACACTCATTACCCGATGGGAGAGGGAGCAATTATTTGCGAGGAAAGTGGAAATTTACTTGGGTGGCGAGATAGAGCCAACGGAGTATAAGCGTCGAAAATCAGCTAACACATTAATTGCATTCCTTTCGCGAATTTGAGGGGAACGACTCCAGAGAAGCGGCACTGACCGACGCGAAACCAGTATAGTGTCAAATCAGTGAGTATTAAACCTTCTTCGACCTTTTCGAAGCGTATGTGCCGTAAGTTCTCGAAAGAAAGATGATGTAAAATTGAGAACAAACCCAATTTTGTCTGCCTCCATTCAGGCGTCGTTCAAAATCGGTATAGTTTGAGACCCGAAAGATGTTGAAATCGTCCCAAGGCCCTTGCTGTCTCGGTTTCAGCACCGGCGTTGTAAACCATGTCTCTGACGTGTTAAGATCCTTCACTTCGACATGCAAATCGGCAAGTATTTTGTCAAATCGAAGCACCTTAATGAACACATCCAAAAGTCAGCTAATATCGTGACGGCACTCGTATTATAACTTACTTCTCGAAAAACTTGTGTAGGTCAAGTATAATTATTCTCGCATCCTAGAATTTTAGACTGCAGGAGCATTCCAGTTGTAGCACAGAGAAAATGTCAGTATTGGGTAAGAATACCATGAGCAAATCCATGTTCGGCGGCTTGATTCTGTCGTTGCCTGTCCGGAGCCAGTGTTATGGCTATCCGGATATGCATAGCTTTCTGCTGTGTTATTCTAAAAGAACTTCGCGGAGTGCCTCCAACCGGTATCGTTCCTATTTCCTAAGAGCAAACGCAGGTTACTGTGTCGAACTGAAGGGGTAGTATTTTACCACTAAGGACAGGGTTATTCTGTCCAGTCCTACTCTCCGAATCTTACCCTTTTCTACCTATCGGCCATCTATAAAGCTCTGCCATTCCATTTGCAACACTGTACAAACAAGTCTTTCTTGATCCATCCAGTCTAACTTGTTCGTTTACTTTGCGTTTGCTGCTCGCTCTGCTTCGTGCCTCGCGTTCTCTGGTCGTCATTGGATTGAAGTCGCTCCGTTGCTTCGATTTCAACGTATCGTTATTATACTAAAAACTCAAGCCGAACCTCCAGCCTGCATCTTAGAATACGCCATTTTATAAGTCATTGGTAGCTCGCTTATACTACTCTAAAAGCAATACAAACACGAATCGTTGATTTGAGTATTCGTTGCCCGGAGTTTGAACTACAATCATGGAATCACTGCTCAAGGAGCAAGATGCGTTGCTGGAAGAAGTTGCAGTTGTTTTGCTCAAACTCAAGACCAAACTCGGTCTGCGCGGCACTACCTCTAGCAGTACGTGGGAATCTGTCAAACTCTTGATGCCTGACACCTGGAAATTGGTTCGGTTCTTTAAGAACCATTACACAACAACTCTCGATTTCAACAATTTAGAGTCCTGCGTGGAGCAGATTAAGAAGAAGATATCCAAGTATAAGGAAAATTTTGAGGATCTTTCCGAGCATGAGGTCAATTTCAACGCTCTATCTGATATGAATAAGCTCTGCGCAGGATTCGAGATAGCTCATATTCTATCTCAGCGGGATCTTCTTCTCTGGGAACACACACGGGTGATGATGTTATTCCCACGCTGTCTCCTCTTCTCGTTTGGCGGAGGGGGAAACCATCTTTCGTGGAGCTTTGTTTGTTGGTAAGACGTTCGAGACCGGCCTCCCTCTGATAATGAACTTGATGACGAGCAGCCTATTAAATCAGCGGACCGTCGCTGGGAAGGAATTGGGATGAATGTTACCTAGAGAGGACAGGCTACGCATGGTTTCTCAATAAGATCGACTGGGAGACCATGTTCTTCCACACTGCCCACCGCCCGTACATACAGCTCCACACCCCGAGCGTCCTTGGTCGATATATCAAACGATAGCATGCCCTGCGCAGTGCTAAGCAGCAGTCTTTAGAATTAGAAAGCTATTTGCTTGCGCTAGATACTGCACTTTATACCGCAGATCCTGTGCGGATCTACGCTCTCTTATCGTTGTTGGTGGGCTTCTGCCTGCGCGTTTCGAAAGGACATTTTCGAGAGCATTCAGTCTATTATCCTTCCGGCTAGTCGAGAAGCAGCGCTTGCCGGATCTATTCCTTTGCGGACCGGCCTTGGATAATCATATTGATCCGGCCTACCTACCGCTCTTTGTCACCCCAGGCCCCTCGCGCCGAAGTCCGTGTGGGATATCGGATATTGTGCACCGGTTCTGGGATCGGCAGCTAGACTCTGAGCTAGATTCAGAAAATAATGATTACGACGCTAACTCGGAGCTGAATGAACGTTATGGAGTACGAGAAAGTTGCCAGCATGCCCACCCCCTGATAATCGAGAACAAAATATACTAGACGCTATCTCACCGTTGTCTCAAGAGAATCGGCCAAATCCTTGGAAGCCGTCAACAGCAATCCTGGTGTGAAAACCTCCAACGCCGCCTCATTACCACACACTTGGTGCTTCCACATCCGAGCTTGGATTCTTTTGTTTCGAAGATACATGTTCGGAAGACGGGGAAATGTAAATACCGTTGGTGGTCTAGTCATCATCCCGCTGTGATGCAGGCCTTTCCATATACAGATGACGCTTTTCCCGCCCCTAGTTACAGCAGCGGTGGTTCTGGATCTCCCAGTAGATGGGTGGATAGCGTCAAAAGCAATCATGGACATTCGCATTGATCTACCTCGAATACGTTCGAACCTTTCTGCTTTCTCTTCAAGCTATCTGCGTGTGCTACCCTAGACCCTATACCCTAGTAGGAAAGCAACTCGGCACCCGGTACATTTCTTCCTCTCATAATTCGTCCATTCTGCTTGTTCCCGTCAACCGCGGCGCGTGTCAACAAGCCGCCCCATCCAAATCCTCTACACCCGACAGCAACGAGGTTGCCCAGATATAATAACATAGGAAGGTCACAATGAATGTTAAGAGGTATTCCATATGATATAAGTCAAGAATGATTAGTAGAAACTAATTCCATGACCATGCTGGAGCTGAGTCTTACTAGGAGTAAGGATAGGGTTTAATTCTTTGACCACATTTGACCATGGCTCGCAATACAAAAACGGTGGCCAGCTGCGAGTATAAAAACCACCATTACGCTTTATCCCTTCGTGGCTTTCGACCTCGAAAATTACGTATTTTCCACTAATTCATGCATATTTAGGAGGTTCATTTCCTATCTCCGGTTCTACATTCCACCAGACTGCTAGCTAATCAGGAGTGACACTTTGAGGCATCTCTTATTGATGGAAGTATTATCTTAGGAATGGGTACCGTATCTCCCACCCGATCGAATCGATCTAGTCAGAACTAAAACAGGGCCCTCGCAAATCAAGCCTCATGGAAAAGGCACGCGAGTATAGCCAGATGTGCGATGCAGATGTCTGTTTGGGCATACATCTCCGGAAAACAGGCCAAATCTACATACATCCTGTCGGTGGACGCTTCAGGACTTTGGGCTTTTTTTAGCTCGCAATTATAATCTCACCAATTTCTTCTCCGAGGGAAAGACGGCTAATTTTTGTAGGCTTCTCAATATCAAACCCCGAATTTAGTAACAGACCAGGACTTAGCGCTCGTTGAACGGGGGACATATGGGGGGGAATGTCACGCCCAAACCGATTAGTTGACAATCGGGCTACCCTCAGGGCCCCTTTTAATGGACACACCTACGTGAAACGCGTCTATTGCTGTGTCCATACCGATACTGTGCCGTTCAGCACCACTATGGTGATTTTACACAGTATGCTACAGTTTGTATAACAATAGTACATGTGGTCTTGGATACGTTTCGTCCCCTTCCTACGCCACATCACGCATGCGATAGATCCTGGTAGCAGTTGACCGCCATTTCATGATGGAGATGCAGGGCCTTTGATGTATGTGATGAAAGTGCCTGGCCGGGGTTCCGGTTGTGTTTGCTGTCTGATGTGTTTACAGGTGGTTCGGTATTGGGGTGTTGGGGTGTCTGATGCTCCGCATGTGAAGGGCTCATGTTATACACTCGGATCCATATTAATGGCAAATATCTACACGATGGAGGCTGAGAAGAACCTCTTTTTGCGGCGACGCGGCGAGGATAGCGGCCTGGGTAAAGGACTGACCCTCGCTGTGTTAAACGCCCCTCGACTACCCTTCGTCCCCTTTCGCATTGAGCGGTAAGTTCACCAGTACAGAAATAATGGCAACCGCACGAGGGTATCAGGCCAACGCGCGTATGACGTGTTAGCTGCAGGTGTGGCTTTGATTGGGTACCAATATGCGCGAATTGGGCACCAGCAAAGTTCATGCAGTGGGCCTCCAGAGAGGAATATGAAGGATGCATAGAACCTGTGGTAGATCCCTAGATCCTCAGAATACCAGTCCATTCAAAATTGCACTACAACGGTCACGTTCCTCCCATTCTCAAAAAAAAAAAAAAACTGTTCAAAGCGCGGGGAGTCTCGGCATGTCGACCAAAACCCCTGAAAAGCTATACACCATCAAAGACATCCCTTATAAGGGCTTGGGTTTCATAGCCGCTAGAAAGATTGAAAAAGGCGAGCGCATTCTTTCTGAAGCTCCCTTGATACGGGTACCAAGGTCCACAGTCTCCAAGACACAGGTGCAAGAATGGATATGCAGGGAGGTCGCCGCGCTGAGCCAAGACGAGCGGCAGTCGTTCTTTGCTCTACACAACGCGTTCAAGGACAAAGAAAACCGCGAGCTGGGCATTGTACACACAAATGCCCTGCCATTTGGATCTAATGCCTCTGCAGGCGGTGTCTTTGTTCAAGCGTCACGAATCAATCATGCTTGTTTGCAGAACAGCCAGAATACATGGAATGAAGATCTTCAGCAACTGACTATCCACGCTTTTCGTGACATTGAAGAAGGCGAAGAGATCACTATATGTTATCTCCATGATCGCACAAACTATTCCCAACGTCGTCGAGCTCTGCAGCAGCGCTTCCGATTCACCTGCTCCTGCCAGCTATGTTCCATGCCACCGCCCCAACGAGCTATCAGCGACGCAAAACTAGATGAAATACAGCGCCTGGACGAATTGATCGGCGACGGAGCACGTATGACTGTTTCACCCCTAGATTCTCTACGCGACATACGTAAGCTGCTCCAGCTATGCGAAGAGGAAGACCTTGAGGATGCGAGCGTGCCACGAGCATACTATGACGCCTTTCAGATTGCCATTTATAATGGAGACGAGGCGCGAGCAAGATTATTCGCTGATAGAGCCTATAAATCTCGGGTTATACTGGAAGGTAGCGATAGTCCCACAGTGCGCAAAATGAGTGACCTGGCCAGAGATCCCACCAACCATTCATCCCATGGCTCCTCTTCGCGGTGGCGAAGCTCGACCAACGATATCCCTTCTGGTCTGTCATCAAAAGATTTTGACGCCTGGCTTTGGAAGGAAAATAGTAAAATGCCAAGTCACAACCAGACAATGGGCGAGACGCCGTATGCCAATCTACGTAACGACGCGACGTTTCCTTCGTTTGATGCGCTCCCAGAGGAGAACAGCCTCGACCTAAGTTTTTTTGAGTCCGAAGACGGATATTCTTATCACCCCCGCAAGCATTGGTGCTTCCTTGCAGAGATTGTCAGTATTGAAATTTTCATGCGGCTTAGGCTCTACATTAAGGACAAAACAAAACAGAAAACCTCGGTGTCTTTTTACACTGACGACCGTGGCCATGAACTAAAACCTTCAGCCTTAAAAGAGGGATACACAGTTGCCATTCTTTACCCGGAGCAGCATGGATTCCTTGATATGACAGTAGGAATCCGGCATGAAAATCGCAGCTTGCTGAAGGTAAGCTTGCTTGCACTTTTACCCTTTTAACCCATTTACCCGCCTGCTAACTATATAAGGTCTTTCCCGTCGCGCTTGACGATCTATTCAAACTGAGCGATAAGATACGAAAGTATACCACAGGGGCGGATGGGGAGAGGATTTGCCAGGGTTGTGATCAAAAGGCAGCTCAGCTGAAAATGTGCGCCAGGTGCAGCTTTTTCTGGTATTGTGACAAGGCAGGCAGATCCTTTTGTGTCAACTGCAAATCTAGACTCTGCTGACTTCGCTTGTCGATCAGACCTGCCAGACTCTTGCCTGGAATGAGAAGGGCCACAGGGCGGATTGCAAGCTGCTCAAAGATCCGGATTTGCGAATGCTACTTCTTCTTGAAGAAGAAGGCTTTGATCAGTTTCACCACTTTTCGGCCCTATAGTGTTTATGGACATGTTCCGATCTTGTATTTGCAACAGTATAAGGGCCGACGGGCTCTCATGGCAGGGGCAGGCTCATTTGCCGCCTGCTGGCACCATCGGCTGGGGACTATGGCCGCTTTCCTCCGCCTTTTTTGGGCCTGTGAACCCTTACGATTCCTGGCAGACAATGCTAGTCACGAGACCACAGTGCTATTATGAAAACACATATCTAGACCTCGCCAAACGCGGGTTTGGGGCGGGTTGTCGCTTTCTCCTACCCGCCCACGGGTAACCCGCGCGGGTTTTGGCCTTCATGAACCCGCCCGTGGGTTCTTGGCGGGTACCCGTGGGTTACCCATATAACCCACCAAAATGCATAATAAGTGAACAAAAGTGTATTAGTCAGTATTGGTAATATTGGTAATTTAATTTTGTCACAACTTTATATGGGAGATACCGTCTCATGAAATGTCTCACCACCTCAATAATATATATATTATATATGTACAGGCAATTGTCCAGCCAGAGCGCGCTCTCCGAACACTCTTGCATCCCACCGTTGGCACTAAGAACATCCATCGACCCTTATTGATATCAAGCCTCTCGAGGACACTTTAAGCTATAATATCCAGAAAAATGATTGACCAGCCAGTGAAGAAGCATCCTCGCCATCGTTTTACTGTCGCACGAGTTTTGGGTACCCGTGGGTTTAGGGTACCCGCGGGTTGACGCGACCCACTATCTCATACAAAAAACCACCGCGACGCGTTGGGAAAAAAAATCACTCTGATCCCACGAAAATTCCAATTCTTGGAACTCCAACGAGCTTGAGCTATGAGCATCGAATCTCCAAAAGCCATGTCCTCGCGGTCAATTCATCGGTCTTTGAGCCCCTTGCTCTCCATTGAGCCATCATTGTCAAGGAGGTTGGATGGATGGTGGGAGGTGCCAAAATCACTCGTCCGTTGTCCGCGTGGTTTTGGTGGGGAGGCGGAGGGAACAGAGTTCATCTGAGTCTTCGCATCGTGGTTGCGTAAATAAAAAACCGTACGGTAAATTATCATGCAGGATGATGATGACGATGATGTCTCGATTGACTGACTGGCCTGGAGTGATGATTGTAAGTGTTATCGCCAAGACATAACCCAATGCAGAATTGATTGAGGTTACCATACCCAATACCACACCCTATCTCACCCCCAGACTGTCCGAGCTGGGTGCGGAGGAAGGATAGCATGGTCTTTCGTAGAGGCTCATCCTCCTGCAGCCTATGTCTTGGGCTGCTATCTGTCTCTAGATGGGGAACCTTTGATCGTGAGCCTTTAAACTGCAAAGGCATTATGCGATTTCCATCTCAGGCGCAGAGACGAAGGCAAGGCTTTTTTCTTTTTTCGCAAAAGAGCCATTCTCGCCTGCTCCTGTTAGAGAGGGAGAAGACTGCCCTTTTAAGTAGCCTTGCGTCACACGGAAAGATGTGAAGAACCGAGGTTTTGAATGAGGCTGTTCTGAACCGCGAACTTGAAAGTATTCTCGACCACAGGTTAGTAGGGAACTTGTGGTTCTCTTGAAGGCTGACTGGACATAGTTATTTGGCGGTTTGAAACTGCGATAACACGAGCCTCATAACAGTTTTCTGACATCATAGCTGGTTGCTAACCAACTAGTTAATTGGAAGGCAGGTGATTCATCAAATCCCGGAACGACCGCCTCTCAAGTATACAAAGGGAACATTGAAGATTCCTGTTGATATTACAGTATCTAGACATGCTCAATCTTCAGCGCCAGGCACTTTCATTAAGTCTCCAAAACAACACATTTATTGTTTTCTTGGCAGCAAGTAGAAAAAAACCGTGTTATACAATAAAATGTGATGATTGTATAGGCGACACACGGTTCAGAACATCCATCTTTAGAAGTTAAGAATTGGGGAAATGCAAATCCCAAGAGTGCTGCGGACAATACCCAACCGCGACCAGTTGCAACTTTGTCTCTGTATACAGGTCTTCGTTTTACTTTACTAATCTTCATGATGATATGCTTTACCACCTTGTTGATTGTTGGTCAACGCTTTGGATATCTCCCTGGTCGAAATCTGCTGCTGAGCTTTTGCTTCAACTTGTAGAATGTCTATACCACTCGATAGTGAACCCAAGTTGCTCTGGTTCTCCCAAAGAAAGCATATGAAGAAGTCCGCACTTCTCCAGGTTCTGACAGAATGATTTTTTCGGAGAGAAATCCACTGCAGAGTCGTGTTGTCCGATGCCACCGCTACAGCCATCCGGCACTCCATCACTAGCTTCTTCAGGCTTGCTTGCCTCTCTGGTGCGACAGAGCACGAAAACCCACCAAGATCTGAAACTTTTCAATAACCCGCGAATAACGCGGCCTATGACTGTACGTCATTGCGGGGTGGAAATATTTTCTATTTTTTCGGCTTCGGTGTCTCTCCAGTTGTTTCTTCCAGGGAGGAGCGTCTCTGCGTATGCAGCCAATTCCGCAATCGTGGCATATTTGTTGTGCCAAAATTCGATGATGATGTCGCCAATTAACAGATCATTTCAAGACAGTGAGAAGCAGTCGCCGGGCAGCCCAACAGAGAAAGTTACAAAATTCTGTCCAGTGTTGGATCCGGACCCAGTGTTGGACCAGCCGTCGGTCGTCATCTCCAACTGCCGTTCCCAAGCGCGAGGAACGAAGAACACTGTCTCAACAACACGAATGGCCTCTTCGAACAGGAAGCGAGACCGGGATGAGTATATATCTGATGACAGAAGCGATGACCCTGATGGCCTCGACGATGCGGACTACGTGGGCGAAAACGGTGAAGACGCACATGGAAACAGCGTTCCTTTCCATTGACTGAAAAGAGCAAGGCGACCTGCAGTGCAGCTTAAGCCTAGACCTCCCCGGCAGAACACGAAACGCCTCTCGGTCGCGAGGCAGTTCAATCCAAAGTGGCCGCAGATCAGCTTCGCCAACAAGCTTGCACGATATCGAAACCATTCCTATCCGAGGTTTCCTTACGCGACAGATACTTTTGTCAATGGTCAGATATTCAGTTACCTTTGAAGAGCAGGCAGAGCATTCCTGCACTCAGAGATCGGGCAGAGCTACTTCACATTATGAAAACAAAATTGGCAGCCAGCATTCCAAGCAACCCCCTCAGAAAGGGTCCCGCGCTGGGAAAACGAACGGGCCAACCAGATTCCTGTCTAAGGACGACCAGCTTTCAATTGAATTGAAGGAAGAGCGGAGCCTGCCATGAAAGCGAATCGCAGAGTATTTTCCTGGAAGGTCGGAAGGCTCCCTCCAGGTGCGCTATTGCACACGCTTCAAGGGCTGCAAGGCTGGAAATTTTGGGCATTCTGGGCGGAGTTTCAACGTGAGGAGCGAATCTTCATATAGAGGCGCACCTTGCGAGGCAGTTCAAGCCGCAGGTAGCAAGAGCAAAGACACCGAAGAAGGTGTGTCAAGACCGCGATACGGTCCACCTCGGCGCAGGCAAACGGTGGACCTCTATTCCCCGGTTTGAGTTGGCAATAGTTCTTAGTCTTTGTCGAATATCAGTCAAATGGATCGCCAAAAACAAGACCGTCCCGCTGTGTCCAGCGCCCGTAGTGCGTTGGGCAACAGTTGAACCTTACCAGGTTTCACAGTTTCAAAGAGCGGCAATAGTCTCTCTGCAGAGTTGCTAAGCCGCTCTGGCACTGAAACACAGTTTTAATCTCACTTTTTGCTACTGGTGACACTGTTTTCGACTGTAATGTGAGTGCCCTGAAACGAACGAAGTGAGAGAAAGGGTTGTTGAACACGCTGACAATGTGGTGCGTGAGGCGTGGAAAGAAGAAGTTAATAGGTTGTTCTGCCACGCACTTCTCTGATTTGTTCCCGTCCGCTACTCCACACCCCTGCTGGTGCCACCTGTATTTCCTTCCTCTGGCCTGTCTTTGGCTTAGGGTTGTAGGGTGATATCTCTGTCATCTAATATTCAACCCCCAAGGTGTCCTGCTTGTCGCCTGTCTAGTTCACAGCCCCATATTGACACCGAACCGCCCGATGTGAGTCCAGAAATAACGACCCGCGGCGTGGACGGCGATACGGTCCAGAAGATCCACTGTGGCTTCGCGGACAACTTGGTCTGGATGAAACAGGCCCATGCTCACGTAGAACAGACCAGCTTGGTTCTCTGGAGCGACGCATAGGAGCTGGCAGATACCCGCGTAGTCTTTGACGGAGTGCGACAGGGCTAAGTAAACAGATGCTGCTTCGGAGTGGGAGAGATTTAGGGCTCGAAGTCGGTCGTGATGGTGGTGGATATCTGGTCGTTGGATTAGGCGAGCGGGATAGTACATGGCGGCAATGTCTTGGATGTAGGAGTAGTAGGAGCGGGTGTTGCGCCAGCCTTCGATTCGGGATACCGATGCTGAGAGCTCGCGCTGTTTTGCGTTCTCGTCGACCCAGAACATGCTGTCAGCTATTTCCTGACCCATAATCGGTTGCCGGCGCGTCCCACTCCCGATGATGTTCGGAAAATGATCAGGATTCACAATTCAATGACAGCAATCGTAGATTAACATGGATGGACAGGTTGAAGATTGCCATGTTCTCTTCATATGAATATCAGGTCTGATTTTGGCTTGCAAAGTTGGAGTTCAACCAGGATTGGGCTTGCGCTATTTATGCGTTTGATTTTGCTTGGTCGAACTCTTTTCAGTTATCTGCAAATAGACGAATCAATAGGTCCCGCCTTACCGCGTCCGTGCAGTAGATCCTGTCACTCACTGCGTAGTACCCCAGGAAGAATGAGGAGCTTCGGGCAAATCCGCCGTTCAAGGACGAGGGGTTTTAAGCTAAAAGGTAAATGAAAATTGGGATTGCTGTGAAGAACCTGATAGTCTTCACGGAAAGAATTTTTTCTGGGAGTATGCCTCTTTTTGTATGCACCACCAAGAGTGGAGTTAAAACTCGTATATAGCAACGAGAAGCACCCGGGAAGGAGCTTTGTATGGTACCGAACCACCGATTGAATTTGGTGGTTCGGGGTAAATACTGTGTGTCCATTGGTCGGACACCCCTGTTGGCGGTTCAGAATTGTGACATTTGAAGGGCCTGTGCAGCCGCGATTCCTCTTTGTACCAAACCATACGATCTCCTTCCAGGAGTTTCCATCGCGTTAAGATCCGAGGAGCGTACAGTAACATCCCCAAGGACGGAAGCAATGTTTCTGGTTTCTTACAATTAGCTGCATCGAAAGGCCAGAGCGAGGGCTGAACAAGAATGTACTGTACAGTAAAATGGGACTCCAACATAAAGGACGTACACATGGAATCATCTGCCCACAAGTTACAACCAGGCTAGTATTCCACTGACTTTACACTGTATTTCTAGAGTATCGGTCGAGCGCCCTTTCAGCGGTTTAAAACAGCGACTCCGAAAAAAGCAATTTCGAACTGCCACTTCCTCATGCCACCAAACCTTACTTAAAAGAACAGAATCCTCGTCTGTTGATACTTCACCCTCATGCTTTCAAATGAGATTCAGAAAATGAACCCCATCTTCAACAGTGCTCTAGAGCTGAGTCTTAGGGGCCGAGCCATACACTCATGACAACTGGCAGTCGTGCGTGCTTTCTTTATCCACTGATCATTATCATTATGTCAACTAAATATTGTTCGTGGCGAATAGAGAGACAACATCCATTGCATCGGCCCTGTATAAGGGGTTCATGGAAAATGGGAGACGGTGACTACCCTGGCCACCAAGAATTCCTGTAGGACTGATAGCTTTCTCAGGTATCAGACACTGAAAAATACCGATTCTTTGTTCGTCGCCACTTGAAGTCCGCTATAGTATGTAACTCACATTTGTGCAGTGTTCCTTCAGATGAGCAGCAATTTGAGGCCTACGAAGCGGGGTATTTTCGGAGTCCTTTATTCGCAGGGGTTGGACGATTTTGTTAACACTCGAGAAAGTCACATCACCGCTGTACTTATGGAGTCTGACCGGCCGAATCCGTTATTCAGGGCCCCCGTCGGCCCTGACCCACAAGTATGTTAACTAACTAGATACTGAACGATACTGACATCTCTAAGCATATTCTCGACGTTGGAACTGGAAAGGGCTCGTGGGCAATGTAAGTGAAGATTCTCCCTTGGTGGAGAGACGTACTAACATCCGTTCAGTGATGTCGCCGACATGTTTCCAAGTGGTACGAACCCCAGACTCGCACTATCGATAGTGTCTTTTTATTGGATGGATTCAAGCTAAAATATGCAGCAACCGTCCGCGGCGTTGGTCTTTTCCCACCCCCCGTGTCTTGGGTCCCTCCAAACTGCATTCTTGAGATTGATGACGTGTTGCAAGAGTGGACCTGGCAACAGCCGTTTGATTTGATTCATATACGGATCCTTGATGCTGCTTTTACTCATGAGGAGCAAGAGCGGTTATATCGACAGTGTTACGAGTATGTTCATGCGTCAAGAAAACTGAATGAAACAGACGAGGTCAACTAAATCTTTGCAGAAGCATCCACCCGGGCGGATGGGTAGAACAACTCGAAATGTCTCCAAATTTCCTGTCTGACGATGGAAGTCTTCCTCCGGATAGTCTTGCTGCCAATTTGGGCAAAATTTGTGTCCGCGCTGCCGCGAAGTCTGGCCGACCCATGGATCTATACTACCGATGCACAGAGCTGATAGAAAAAGCCGGGTTTACAGACATTCATGTCCATGAATGCAAGTGGCCACTTGGTCCTTGGGCGCGGGACAAGCAGCTCAAGGAGGTTGGAACTGTGAATTTTGCGCAATGGGCAGCAGGCATGGAGGGATATGCTATGCATCTTCTTACGAAATATGGAGAACCGAAGCCATGGTCGAAGGAAGAGGTTATGGTCTACGTTGCGAAAGTCAAGAATGAGTTAGCTGACCTTCGCCATCATGTCTACCATAAAGCGCAAGTCTTCGTCTTCATTACATTCCTGTGGAAGCTAGGGCGATATGCTAACAATGTTATAGGAAACGAGTGTGGGCTCGGAAACCCCTCTCCAACTCCAAAGAGAGCCCCACGACTACAGCTATCAAAAAAGAAAACAAGGATTAGCGAGGACAGTAAGAGACGCCAAATATGACAATATTCGCTGGGCGGAGGTCCACTCATTTCACCTTTCTCCTGTGTTACGCGATGTGGGTCGGTGTCCTTTGGGTATCGTGCATGCCTCATGTCTATATCTGACAATCTCAACACTTTAGCCCCACAATGGAGGTCAGTCTTGTTCTGTAAATTCTACATTGGCCTGACTGTTCATAGACACACACCTCTTCTCTTGCAGGTTGCTGAAAAACACAGATGGTTAACTACCAGAATTTCTTTCCTTCGTGTCTCTTTGCTTTCCATCACCCCACCCTCCTTTTACCACCTAGTTTCCAGAGAGGGATAATGGTGGTTTGTAGTTCTAGGTGGAAGAAGAGTAAAGTATTAGCGGCGCATCAGGATGCTTTGGAAGGTTCATCCCAAGAGGCCTCTTAAATCGCTTCAGCAAGGCTGTACCGACTAGTCAAACTTTAGTCGTACCTGGAAGTCTTTTCGGCGGACAATACGGTCCTGAACCCTCGGTATTATAGACTCTGCACCTCGTGAGGTCGTTCCTTCGATACTCACGTTCCTGCTGCATAATGAAAATTTCAATATCAAGGTCCATAATGGCCTTTCGAGCCCGGTCCATCGAGGCGAACATCGCAGTACCTTCACGCTCCCACCGTCCCAGGCGACCTTCCTCGGCCCTTCGTCGCCGATATTTGGTCTCGATTTTCTTGCAGAGGTGGCACTTGCTATTGCAGTTTTCGGTCTCGTTGATGAGTCTTATACCACAAGTTTCACCAATCCGGTACTCGTAATCACATCTGTGTGCAAAGCGAGTCCAGTTCCAGTCCCCGCATGAAAACCGTTTCTGGTTGTAAAAGCAAATGTCTAACAGATATGTTAGCGCCTCCTACTTTTCAGATCGATTGCTATTGCACGTCTGGAGGCTCTTTTTCAGGTCAAACAAGATTGTATGATGAGATCCTACCTGACAAGTTCCAAGGTCACCTGCCTATTTCAAAAACCATTAATGAATCCGGACACACGGCCTCCGTAGGATGTTTAGAAACAATGAGAAAATGTCCTAATGGTTTGCTGCTTGGAAGGTCCAAGGAACTGGCGGGATGGGATATTTGGACTTTGAGATAGGAAAACTGTGATTTCGAAGTCCAATGTTAGAGGCAGAAGTCAAGATTTAAGGTAATGCATCGAAGTCCCAGGCTGGAATTTGTGCGCCTACCCACGAGAATTGAGCTACTCGTGCATCAGAAGGACCGAAATTGGTTTAACCCCATGAGCACCTTGGGCGCTCGGACTACCAGGAAGGGACAGTTGGATATACCCTGTTGGAAGAAACTCCCACAGCTGGCATCATGCTTCAGATATTGATATTTATCTGATTTAAGTCGTCGGGGAACACGGAAAGTGGGTCCCTCCTGTTCTAGCGCCAAAGAGGAAAACTACACGAGCTGTTCTGGCCTCAATCTTTTTCTCTGCTCTTCCGTTTTGCCTTCCACAAGCAGCCAATCGTGACCCCTCCAGCCTTCTACTTTGCTTTGCAACAAATAAAATGGGACATGCTCCTATGAAATCAGAGATCCTGGAGACTGGCAGGTTCGTCTCCAGGAATACAAGAACTGTCCCCAGGAACGCTGCCATGCGCTCCCCGACACGTCAGAGCTCCTGGAGCCCAATGTCAAGGATATACATAAAGCATGCGGAACGGATGGAGATATGATCTGCGCGGGACCCACATGGTGTATATGGGTTCCCCTGAACGCGAGGAAGCTATCTTTCTTTTGCTTTCTCGCGCTACGTCTTGTATCTAGGGTCAACTATAGTTGTTCTTAATATCGATTGTTCATCTTGAAACACTATCCACCTCTATGTATACAGCTAAATTCGAAATTGCCTTCCATGTTTTACACAGAGAAACTATCTGAAACCCTAACGCCAAGGCAATGGTGAAACTACTTAGTCCCGTTCTGGCTAGCTTGCAGATCTCCCTTCCGCGTCAGTACAGAACTGTAAAATACCTGACAAGTCTAATACGCCACAGCTCCCTGTACTCATGCATTTCTTTAGTACGCTTTTGCCAAGGTTGTCCCACTCGCCGAGGCGGCGGCTCCTCTGACCACGTTGTCCCCTACTACCCACACCATGAGACAAAGGCATAATGGCTCCGAACCTGCCAGATTCTAGTCGAGAATTTATCCGAGATATGACCCTGAGCAAATCACTAACCACGACCGAGATTGCTGATGCTGCTGGATGTAGCCCGCGTTCTGTCACCGCAATCTGCAGTAACCTGCGGTAATTCGGTGATACTCGAGCGCCTCCCATTCAAGCAGGCAGACCACGAAGTATTACACCGCCGATGTTGGAGGCTCTCTGCGACCACTTACAGGAAAAGCCTGATCTCTATCTCGATGAGATGGCGATTTTCCTCTGGGATGAATTTGGCACGAAGGCAACGACTTCCAGCATACGGCGAGCGCTGATCTCTAAGAATTGGTCAAAGAAGGTTGCTCGTCAGAAGGGGAGGGAGCAGAATCAGGATCTTCGGGATTGCTACCTCCACAACCTGTCCGACTTCAGGTCGTACCATCTGGTATACGTTGACGAGTTTGGCTGTGATAAACGGGTTGGCTTCCGGAGGACAGGTTGGTAACCGCTTGGTACTGCACCGATCCAGGTCTCCAAATTTCACCGCGATCAACGCTACCAGATCTTGCCAGCGTACTCTCAAGATGGTATCATCTTGTCAAGAATATTTCGAGGCTCGACGGATGCGTCACTTTTTGAGGATTTCATTGAGGAGCTCCTTCAGCACTGTGGGAAATGGCCAGAGCCCAGATCTGTTCTGGTGATGGATAACGCGTCTTTCCACCATTCTGGTCGCATAGAACAACTGTGCTCAGACGCGGGTGTGAAACTGATGTACTTGCCTCCTTACTCTCCAGACCTAATTCCGTACATACCATGTAACGGAATTCCAGTGTGTTCTGTATGGGTATGTAAAGATATGGCACGATCTTCCGGTATCGTAACGATTTTCCTCGTTTTATGTGCGGGCCTTCGAATTCTGCGGGCGGATTCCTCTTGCGTCAAGTCTGCTTTATAGACGCCACTGTAATAGTGCTGGACATTATCTTGCATTCGGTGCTGGTGCGCATTCGAATCGAATGTAAGGATAGGGAAAGATTCACCCCGAGTACAGGTCTGTGCGAATGAAGCAATGACTGCTTGCTCGATTGTTATTGAAAGCAATCAAACCTTACGGAACGCTTGGTACTTTCGATCTGGGCGATAAAAGTATTACAAGAGAACACAAAACCATGGATCTGCAGTGTATATGTAAGCTGCGCACAAAAGACAGTGGAGAATTGTGATATGACAGCAGCGATGTGAGCAATAAAACCTGGGCTGTCTAGAGACAGATATAAATAATTAGTAGGTCTAACTACTACTGTGTGTCCGTGGTCTTTCAATACACGCCTAGGTACGTACATATTTGAAACAACAGTCAATATCTCGCCAAGAATGGAGACCCCGTCTCCGTAGTCAATACTTGCATTCCAAATCGTACTGCATAATAATTAGGTGCATTGGTTAAGGTCTGGGATGTATTTTGATCAGCACTGCATGGACAGAAGAGGTGTAGTAAAAGAGGGGTGTTTCTTCTCTCCCCTTTCCTTGCATTATCACACATTGAATACACGTTATCGTTTATTTATTTTTTTTAGAAACATAGTGATTGCTCTCTTCCTCTACGGACGCACTGCAAGATGCCTAATCTACTGTGAACAGCTAGTTGAAGGAAGTTCTGCAGACAGCAGACCTCATATCAACAGGAATCTACACCCTCTTGCTTGAAATTGTTTTGCACTTATGCTTTTTCCGCCGCGAAGACTACCTTGCGTTTTTCCTTTGGACTTATGTCGTGATCTATGAGCAATCACTTAACAGATGACTCTATAGGTGCATATGGCTGCGCCGGTGAGAACCTGGCCATGCATGCAAAGTCTGCGAATCGCTATCTCCGTTTTTGTACAGAAGTTCAACGTCAGCTTGGCTGCTAGAGAGACTGGCTTGATGATAGGCGTAATTGTCAGTAACACTGCTTTGCTGATATGGAGGAACCCCCTCATCTGTATAGATTCTGCTGCATAGTCTACTTAATATACTACCCCACTCAGCGATGTGCAGTATACAGCTACACCCAACAAAGTGGTTGTAATATGACCAGTCACTTCTAGCTGTTGAACCTTCCTTTTTTGTGCAATACGCTGTCAATATATGCATGGGGTTAGATTTACGTCACAATACCATTTCGCTAAGGGATTTACTTGGAAGTGATTCTCCAATGAGAACGCGGCAAATTCCTAGGTAAAGCACAGAACAGAGCCCAAATCAGTAATAAACATCAACATTAGGGTTGAAAGGAGCAAGTCCTATCATCAGATCATAATCTGTAGCCCACGAGCATGTATAAAAATGCCTATGCGCGAAAATTAGAGAGCGAAATTGTGGACAACACCAAGATTGCTCCAATACGCATACCATTTCGCTAGTTTAGCCTCCACTATTGTTCTATGAATAGGACCCCTTCCTTAAAGGCAACAAACTCCACCTCAGCCACGGAGGAGCATTCCGCAAAATAAGCTGCTGCTCCAGTGCAGATGACACAGAGCTCAGCTGCTATCCCTATATATGGATATGATTGTCATGTAGGCAACCGATATCTAGGCATTATGACCTTTAATCTTGTGATACGAGGAACATTCGACACTAGCTTAAAAGATCATGGAGTTAGGGGAGTGAAGTCACAGTATTACACCGATGGCCTCGAGCATGGGTATATAGTGCTCAATCAGAATGTCTCTCTCTCAATTTTCCAAATTTATTTCTAGTGGGCCATCACTCATTTCAAGCTGCATCATTGGGCATCATTAAAAGTCTGCACTGACAGCCTATATGATGAGATACCGAATGCCAGCTTGTCTTGCGCGTTCGGCAGG